AGACAAAGTTGTTAAGCTTTACAAAATGTAATTTTGGTTTCTTAAGCATCGAGGTATGAATTCTAACATTAACATTTAGTTCAATTAATTATTTACATCTCTTTCAAAACTATTAAATATAACAGCCATGCTTAACATAATTCGGATTCTATTAATTCGGTTTGCAAATGTCAATACAAACTTAATTTTAATTGTGTTTTTTATGCCGTTATTTGTGCGGTTTTAAAATTCTCAATTTGAAACTGTCCAGAATATTGGTGGAATCAACTATCAATATAATGCGTGGTATTGCTGTTTTTCCTTCTGCTGATAATGTTTGTACTTTCAAAATTCTTAATTTATAAACTAATTTAATATTTGATCACATTATATTTATAAATTAGCTAAACACTCTCATTGTATAATATTATTTAATAAATATGAAATATGTTAACAATAAGAATCTTTTTTTTTGTTTGGTTAAGGAGTGGAAACCTCTCCCCTTCTTCAGCAGCATCCAGGTCCGGTGTTTACAGATGTCTCTGAAATATAGATTGTCTTAGCCAAGCTCTGCGCTTCTATGTGTGTCCACTATCACTTTCTTCCCTTTCTCTCTCCATTCTCCGCTCATCATTTTCCTTAATGGAGAGCACCCCATACTTTTGTTGTATTTCGTTTTTTATTAAATAATTGTGATGTACACATTGAAAAGTATTTATAAGTAATTATTTTGTTCATTTTAATCTATTTTTTTTATTTTATGCATAATACGGAATTTAAAATATATAAAAGTAAAAACCATGAAAATTTTTAAAATTTCCCCGACTTACGAACAACCCTTTACAACGGAACTAGTTTGTAAGTCGGGAGATACCTAGATATTTATCTTATTTTTAAATATATACTAGCCTTTACTTTCTACCATCATGTTAAAATCCATTTTCAATATTTAAAAAAACTGAAATTATGATCAGTTTCACTTACTTGTGAAACAAAAAAACACGTATTTGAAATTAAGTGTAACTTACGTAATAAAGCTATTATTTGACTATTATTTCCTGGATTGGCCATCGCTATTCCATTAGATATTGATTAGTTACATAACAGAAATGGTAATATACTCCAAACAGATATAAATTCACCCAATCCAAGTCAAAGCATTAGAAGAACACACTCTCATTCGCCATGTTAAATAAAATAGATTTACTCTTAAAATTTATAATTAATGTGGGCAACATATTTGGATTTATACCAATTAAAATCTATAATATGAATGAAATGAAGACCGCAAATATCGTACTTATCAATTCTTTACTAATACTAATTAGTTATACAGCTTTGTGTGTTTTGGACATAATATATCGTCCGGGTGGACTAACCGTTATCAACAACTACGTAAACTCTTTGGCTCACGCTGCATGCGTTTTGCAGTTTTTCGCAAATCAAATATTCAATTGGACGCATTTGAAAGACCTGAAGGATCTTCTGAGTTCTTTGATCAAAATAAACGAGAGAATACTCGAGATTACGCTGATTCAATTGAATCACGTTCGAGTTAGGAGACAAGTGTGCAGCTTACTTTTATTGCTACTTTTTGGATATTCGTTTCAACTTGGTTACGAGATTTACGATCTACAACTCGTTGATGATCATATGAAAATACGATTTTATATTCTCCAAATAACTATTCTTTTTGCTGGGATCGTTGTCTTTCAAATCTCCAGCTTCAGTATGGTGATTCTCGAGCTTTACAACAATCTGGAGGAATACGTTGAAAATTTGATTCTCAATTCTACGTTGAAGATAAAAAGTGATGGATACAACTTGGAGAAATTTAGAGCTGCAATACTTCAATTGAACAATACAACTGAACTCTTCAATAGTTGCTTCAGTAAACAATTGCTTTTCATCTACATGAACGGTTTTATCTACATCACAATAAAAGCTTATTACTCTCTAATAGGTAACAGGACGTACAATGCATTTTACATAGCCGCCTATAGTAAGATCCTTCTTTTCTTCTTCTATATGTTTATTATTGCATATGTGTTTCAAACCATAACTAATAAGGTAAATTAGATAGTCTAATTTCGTATTCAAAATAACATCTATCTATTATTCTTTCAGATAACTTTAATTAAAGTAAAATTGTTAAGTTTTTCAAGAAGTAATTTCGGTTACTTAACCAGAGAGGTATGTATACTAACATTGACTACAATTTTACAGTATTATTTTATCACTCGTTCTTTCATTTACTGTTTGGGGACTCTAGGCTAACTGTAGCTGTAGCCCTCAACTAACACTGTTTGAGAGCCCTGAACTAACTATTAACCAAAAAGATTATGTACAAATCCGCCACTGATATCACACAATTCCTTTCATCTCATACAAAATATTAATCAATTGCTTATTTCGTTTAGGCTTTTGAAATATCCCAACATTTGGTTAATTATCAAATAGTATTTACTGCAATGGATCTATTTACAATTAATAAATCAACCGTACTAGAGGTAATTTTTTTAAAAATATTATAACTATTTCTATTATTTACGATTTCAGATAATCAGCACTATTTTCACATATTTAATAATTCTGCTGCAATCAAATACTGCAAATATGGCGCCAAAAAATAGAGTAACAACCAGTTTTGATGAAAGAGTAGATCCCGCATTATTAAAAAAAAATATATTTTAAGCTTTATTTTTAACACAAGAATCTAATATCAATAGAAAAAATAAATGTGTTTTAATTTAAGTTTTTGTTTTAAGTACCTAAATCAACGTGTCACTAATCAAAAACTAAAAAAACAATAATTAAACACATCAGCAGCTTTGTGTATAAATAAAGAAAGTTTATTCAGGAAAAATTCTACATCTAAGAAGTTTTTATTGTATCAATTATTTATGTTTAAAATCAATTACCCAAAATTAAGGAAAAAATGTAATGATTAAGGACGTTTAACAATTAAGATAATGGAAATTATTGACTTTTGCGAATAATGATTTTTCTAATGAACATAAAGACAAAGACCTCAATTTCCAAATTGTTCTATGATTTTCTCACTCAAAATAATGGTGTAAACGGCAGCGTAAATCAATGATTTACTTATAATTAATACATATTGACTATATCGTATAATTAGAGTGAAGAACATTGGTTGATTAAGCATTTGAGAGGCTTTAGGCTCAAAGTAATTGTGACGCCCTCCTCTAAATATTTCCAATTTCGCTACTATAAGATCCCCTTGATTTGACATACAATACACTGAATACACGAAATTATTGAGGTTGCGAAACAAAAAACGTTTTTGAAATAATGTGTAACTTACGTAACATAAGCTTTTATTTGTCCATTAACTTTTACATTTGCCGTCGCTATTAGACATTGATTAGTTACACAACAAATGTTATAATACGCTTCGAACAGGTTTAATTTCACCTAATCCAAGTCAGAGCATTGCAAGAATACAATCTTATTCATCATGTTAAATAAGATAGATTTAATACTAAAGTTTATAATTATTGTAGGCAACATATTTGGATTTATACCAATTAAAATCAATAATATGAATGAAATGAAGACCGCATATATCGCACTTGTCAATTCTTTGCTAATACTAATTAGTTATACAGCTTTATGTGTTTTGGACATACAATATCGTCCAGGTGGAATAACCGGTATCAACAACTACGTAAACTCTTTCGCACACGGAGCATGCGTTTTGCAGTTTTTCGCAAATCAAATATTCAATTGGACGCATTTGAATGATCTGAAAAATCTTCTGAGCACTTTGATCAATATGAATGAAAGAATACTCGAGATTACGCTGATTCCATTTAATTACGTTCGAGTTAGGAGACAAATATGCAGCTTACTTTTAGTGCTACTTCTTGGATATTCCTTTCAACTTGGTTACGAGATTTACGATCTACAATTCTTAGCTGTTCCCTCAAAAATACGTTTTTATATTCTCCAAATAACCATTATCTTTACTGGCATCGTAGTATTTCAAATCTCCAGCTTCAGTATGGTGATACTCGAGCTTTACAACAATCTGGAAGAGTACGTTGAAAATTTGATTCTCAATTCTACGGTTACGTTGAAAACAAGACGCGATGGATACAACTTGGAGAGTTTTAGAGTTACAATACTAGGATTGAACAGTGCAACTGAATTATTCAATAGTTGCTTTAGTAAACAATTGCTTTTCATCTACTTGAACGGTTTTATCTACATGACAATGCAAGCTTATTACTCTCTAACAGGTAATAGAACGTATAATGCATTTTACATAGCAGCCTATGGTAAAATCATTATTTTCTTCTTCTATATGTTTATTATTGCCTATGAGTTTCAAACCATAACCAATAAGGTAAATTAGATAGTCTAATTTCAAATTGAATATAACATTAACCCAATATTCTTTCAGATAATTGTAATTAAAGTAAAATTGTTAAATTTTACAAAATGTAATGTTGGTTACTTATCTAAAGTGGTATGTATTCTAAACTTCTAAACTATTATCATTAAAGTAAAATCAATATTTCCTCATTTGCTTTCTGTTTGTGAACACATTTTACATATTTCCTCCAATTTTCATTAAAATAATAATTGTTTATCGGATTTAGGCTTTTGAAATATGCCAACAATTAGGCAGTCATCAAATAGGATTTACTGCAATGGATTTATTTAACATTGATATATCAACTGTACTACAGGTAAGTTTTGTTTATAAAATTTCGGTAATAACTTTTATAACTTCCAATTACAGATAATCAGCACTATTTGCACATATCTAATAATTCTGCTGCAATCAAGTGGTAATCATTCTAAGCCAATTACTAGAGAATCGAATCAAAATGCATACGGCACAGTTAGAGTTCCGCCTCAAGATAACTAAGAAATTCTTATTTAGAAGACGAAGGTAACTTGTTTTTTTTTTAATCCAAGATTAACAAGTGTACGTATTTATAAGTCAGGAATCAAATATTAAGTTAATAGATAAAAATATATTTGTTTATTATAAAACATAAAAAACAATGTCAACACTTGCAGAAAATATCACATTAGAATAACCACTATTCTATACCTATGCACGTTAAATTTTCTGGTAGATGATCACTAACAATAAATCTTTTGTCATTTTGTAATTTAACAGTTTCCAAGTATCCAAACCAATATATCACCAATCCTGATCCAAACCTAACAAAAATAGTAATAAAAAAATAAGAGACAAATCAGTAAATTTACGACGAAAAACAAACCTATTCCAATAGCATGAATACTGTTTTTTTACATAATCCTGATGTATATCGTAATCACCAAACATTGCTTTACTCTCAATCCAATGAATAATGAAACCATTAACTGCTATTGGTATTTCCAGTTTAACATCTGGTGTTTTGTCATATCCAAATTTCCTTAAATATATCTCATCTCTGAATGCTATTCCCAAATCAGACATTTTCTTGTACAATTTTATTTCATATTGTTGCCCAACAGAACTAAAACCATTCAACAACTATAAATACTGAATATAAAAATAAAAAATACAAACTCACTTTTTCATTGCCTCTACAATTGGGCTATACTGGTCATCATATAATGTGCACTAAATAAATATATAACATGTATAAAGTCATTGATAGATAATAAACTACAAATACTCACCAGAAATATTTCATGAGCTAGCTTTTGATCTGTGATCAAGTTTGTGTCTTTAAGAAGTTTATTAATCTTAGTATTGCTAGTGTCTGTTTGCTGGTCAGGGTTGTCATTGCTATCAATACATTTTAATATCAGCTTAGCAATTAGACATGGAGCAATATTCACTTTCCTGGCAATGTTGATGATGATACCTGGTTCTTCTCCATTAGCAATTGCCTGCTTATACATATTATAATACTTATTCATTTTCCATTCAGACCTTGTGTAGGTAAACTTCATTAATTTCTGATATTCTGAAGATAATATACTGCATAACACTTCATACTGAATGCTGTAACAAATGTATGATTTATTAATAATTACATTAATTAGTAATTTAAACTAATACTGACTTGGGAAAAGTTTCTCTTAATAATTTCAAGCAATTCCTGGATAATCCTTTATATTCCCTAATAGTGGATGTGATTTTCTCGTACATCTTTATATCCATGTTGGTGTAAATTCACAATTGAATGAAAATATTTATTTAAATCACTATAACAAGACTTCCAAAGACTACGTAAGTTATGTTTTGATAATTTGATTTCTTTATACTTTGGTTAAGGCGGTAAGTGCAGTTATACCAACGTATTTTTCAATCAATTCGCAGGGTTACAAATATTGTGTAAAAAAATTGTACAACATATTACTGAGTTCGTTTGACTTATATTGCTTCACTTTTTCCATAAACTATTTAGAATCAGAATTTAATTATTGTCCAATTTTTTAGTATACTTAAAGTCCATAATACAAATATATAATTTCGAAGTCCTAACCTTCATCTGGAAACTGGTTTGGAAAGTAGAAATATGTGTTATGGTACATTTTGACAGTTATAACAGTGTTTTCAGAGGTTTTTTATTTATAAATATATAAGAATAAATATAGTTTCTATATAAAAGTGAGTTAAGTGTGCTTAGTTTGTTGTAAAAATGCCAGCAGCAGTGATTGATAAGCAGGACCGTTCGGAGCAGATGTGGAATGCCCTGAAGAAGCATATTTTGCGTGAAAGGGAACGCAAGAAACAGGAAAGAGAGGCCGAGGTTGAAGAGGAACGGTTGAGGAAAGAACGCGAGGCAAGGGAGCAGCAAGATGTTATGACCTTAGGTGAAACAAAGGAACAGATATCACAGCTCGAGTCTAAGCTTTCAGTGCTTAAGGAAGAGAAACACCAATTATTTTTGCAATTGAAACGAGTACTTAATGAGGATGATAATCGTAGGAAACAATTACACAAAGAAACTAGGTATGAAATTACACTTTTTATATTAGAATATTCAATAAACTATTGTATTTCACTAATGTATATTATAAGTTTATAGTCTGATTTACGTTATTTAGAAATTCTTATTTGCAATTGTCATTTGTGATTATTCTTAATCTTAATTATTATTTGTTTCAGTGAGGTTGTGGCTTTGCAAAACATTCCTCCAAGCATAGTGCATCAACAATTGTACATGCCATCATCTATACCTAGAGGAACGCCAGTACCACAGCAGAATCTAAAGCCAGCAACAAAAAGACCAAGGAGTCCTAGCCCTGTCTCCTTGTACCATCAGAATTACGGCTTCAAGCCCACCAATGTGACAAACCCATCATATCAATCTCCACAGAGTAAGACGGCATTCGATATTGATAATCCACATAAATCTCTGAAATTGTCTTCATTCAGTTTGATCCGGGCATTTTTCTTTATTTTTTAATTTATTTTGTTTTATTGCAGAAGATGCTAGACCTCACGAATTTGTTCGAGCTGTATTATGGAACAGTGAGTGTCAAATCTCGCTATTTTACCATAGTTCTTGGCTTTCAACGAAAAGCGTTTATAGTATCACTCAACATTTGCCCCCAATTTAATTTTATAACAAACATACAAAACCCTTCATACACTCACATATACATACACATTATTCGCATCTAGTCCTTGGAGTATTTTTGTTTACGTAACGTAAATCCAATGCTTGTCCAATTTATTAAAAAAAAAATCAAAACGATTTAATAGTTGGATATCACTGCTACTATAAATTAACAAATTAACTTTTTCAATGGTGACAAGCAAGGTATTTTCGAAACGCTCAATCAGTGCTCTCAATTCAACTTATGTAGAAGATGCAGTTTGATTATATATTATACAAAATTGTGTATATAATCAATTCGTTTAATCTGATGTATTTTAATTTTGAGCTGTGATTGTAGTTGATAAATGCCTTGTCTCGCCGCTTTGGTACAAAATATAACAATTTAATTAAATGTTTGTCAAATCGCAAATGAAATGAAAGACAAAGTTCCGATGAAAACAAAATAATATATCGAAATGATGAGCAATTAATTTAAACTGTTTCCGAACTTTACCTGCATCTCAAGTTTTTTTTTTATTTTTCTTCTAAATTTACGAATTAATTGTGATTTTGGTATTTTATTTTATATTTTGCATTCACTGCATCTGAGGGATGCACAAATCCCGAAGAATAGAATTTGGTTTTCAGATTGTGAAAAGATTCGTTTGCGATGATTTTATGTAGATGTGTTCATTAGATGGTGGTGTTCAAAGTGTTGGTGATTTCAGAAACTCCGCAGTACGCGAATCAACCTGGAGCGTTTTACACGGTTCCGCCGCAGGAGCTGTCTATCTACTATTCCCAGCAAGGTGCAATCCAAAGTAGGGAACCAGCCAGGCAGGTATTCGAAACGGCTAGACCGCCTCCGACTTCGTACCATTTGGAGCAGAAGCCGATGGAACATTATCCACTACGACCATCCTCGTCTCACGTGATCCATTCCGGTGCTATTGCTATAAATCCACAGCCGCAACAGCAACCCAACAAGACTGGAAGTATCACAAGTGGATATCCCATCAGGCACACGCAGTACCAGCAAGTTCCGGCACCCGCGTCCGCACTATACACGGCTCAGAGCAGACCCATCTACCAATCCCCCAGTGCCCCAATGAATTATCCCCCAAGAGAACAGTAGGTCCGCGTATATATTATTATTTATATTTTTAACGAATATATTATATTTCTCAGTAATTATCAACATTGACAATCATATATGTTATGTGCACTTATATAATAGAATATGCTCTTAATGTTCTACTATTTACAATGTACAGTATTAAAATAATAGCCTTTGGAAAAAAAAAAACTTGCTATGAGTAACTAAAATTACATTTTGGAAAACGTTACTCAATCAATTAATTCCTATTATCGTTATTCTCTAGCTATTGAGGATTATGTATCTACAAAATTCGCGTAATCTGGAAATGAACTGTATATTGTATCAATGTAACTAGTAACGTGATTCTGCATAGAGTATTTACTATAATCATTTTCATTCGTTTTGAAAATATTTACGTATATAAATATTTATTTAATATAGGTATACTAACTCGGTGTCACAGCTTTAACTAGGTTATAGATTTCTGTTTGAAGAATTGCATGTAAATCATATATCGTATTGTTTACGTGGAACATTATTTTGTACATAAGCGCTTTTATAATTTGGTGGGGCTACTATAAACATTATCTTTCTATAGATAAGTCAATTATAAAAAGGAAATTCATGTATTCATAAGGATATAAATAGTTTACATAGATTTGTCTTTGGTGTAATGTTTCTCATTTATATATTTATTTCTAAGAAATGTCTACATACAATGCAAATTTGCTGTAGTTGATTTCATTTAATCTAAATATGTATATTCTTTAATATTTTAAGTAAAAAAAAGATATAAAATCAAGGTAATGATTTATTTATTTCCTTCCGATTTATTTTTATAAAAACATCCAATGTTTTTCCAATGTCTTTACAGACAAATTACTAAAACCAATTTCAATGAAGATCTGATTACAGAATTATGAAAATTGTTCTTATTTAATATTTGCTGATTACACTTTTATATGTAAATATTTTATCATTCTTTTTCATACTAACTAGGTATAATTACTAACTGTAACTATTATTACGACATTTGTATGGCTTTTTTTAATCAACATTCCACTCGTTCTGAATCTCATCTCTTAAGTGTTTATTTTATTGTGTAAATACATTTGCTCATTGCGTTTCTACGAAAAATATGAATGGAATATGGGACAGTTACAAATATTTTACAAATTATTGATGTTATAATAGTATGTGTTCATTTTTAAGGGTACATGGGAGCCTGCCAGAATTTCATAGGGGTGCAGACAAACAATATTTGCTTCAAGGAAGGTCGGTAGATTATTTATAATTAAAATTATTGAATAGAAATCAAACTATTTTTGTAATTATAATAAATGCGAAAACAATTATTTATTTTGTTTTAATTTTACACTTTAATTATTTGACAAACATAACGCGTCTCTTTGTCCGCACTAACAAAACGCAACGTTCATACACTTTTGTCCGTCAATTTGTGTTCGTTGAATGTTAGTCTAAGAAGTAGGAAATATTCATTAGAATTGATTGTATTGTCAATTGAAAGAAATATGAACAAAGATCATTGATATATTTACTATATAGAACATACATACTACACACATACTATATAGACATAGCAAGTTCAATAATTTATGAACCTGTTCTTATTTATAGACGTTTTCTTAAAGATTTTGTTATTTATTCGCTTCGTCGTCCGCACTAACGTACTTGATATTCATACGAACGTACACTTTGTCGTTAATTTACACTAATATATACTTTCAGATCTCATCGAGATAATAAGTGTGCAAACGTCAAAGTTACGGATAAATTGGCATGGAAATATCATTTATCTTATGTACAAACCTTGACATGAACTAGTCTAAGTAGAGATATCTATTAGAATTGATTGTTTTTCGAAAAGAGAGAAATGAAAAAATATCTGAATTGATATATTGACTATAAATAGAACCGTCAAAGCAAGTTTCTGTATCGACTAAATTATTGAGAAACATCAATAATTTATGAACGACTCGATATTTATGGATGAATTTTTGAGGGATGCCGCTATTTATTCGCTGCCTCGAATTTCGTTATAGATGTTAGTAGTATTTTTATGAAGCAATCGTTCGGAAGCATATAAATTCGTCGACATTTAACTTGCAGAAAACTGGTTATACATATGTAAAGATTTGATGTATCTGCAAAGAAGAAACACGAATAAAAATCAAAATGTTTGTGTTAAATTTATTATTCTATTATTTGTATAACATCCATTAACTGCTACGCATTTTCGATATTTTTTTGTCGTCATACATATTTAAATATATATAAGAATTAATAATAATATATTATCTGTTCATATCTTTTTTTTTTAAGTAATAACTTAACTAATAATGCGCAACTCTACGTAGAATGAACATTATGTTTGTTAATATTAAGAAGGTGCGCTTATTGAACGTAAATTTAGCGAAGGTTTTCGAATCACTAATATATTACACTATAAAATAATTAACAAATAATTTCTCTATATATATATATTTATATCTTTTTTTTCTTTTCGTATGTTCATAGATTCCTTCGCTATTGAATCTGTTTAAGATTAGAGACTATAATACACGAGTTTAAATAAAAAATATTATATAAAATAAATTAAGGTGCGTATAATTGCTTTCTATCGTTGGACTGTATGATCCACTTTGATCTGATCTGTGCCATATTCTTGAGATTTTGCTGGTGCGTCCACGGCTTTAATTCTTTCAGCTCGTTCTCCAGCGTTAGATCATCCTCGGAGTTCCTCTGTACAGGCTTCGGAGCAATGACTGAGACCGCTATGTAAGCCTTGGGATTCTTATTGAACTGCATCGGATTACCAGTAACCCTATGATATGAGAAGTGCTGATAGCGATTTTTGCTTGGTTTCATCTCCGAGGACACCACAGCAGCTTCAGTCACGTTCTTCGTCTCAGTCTCGTTCTGACTCAACCAATTCACCTTGGTATCAACTGGTACTTCAGTTTTCGTCTGAACCACTCGATCCTCCACTTTAACATTCATTTTCTCCAGCAGTTCTTTAGATTTCGCCAAATCTTCGTCGATTTTTTCTACAAGAAATACAAATTAACATAAAACACAATATTAACAGTATCTCAACTCACGTAACAAGTTATGGACTTTGGTCCACTGCTGCGGATTCTCCGCAATCTTTATCATCAGCTCAAGAAGCATCTCGCTGGCTTTCGCTTCGTGCTCCGCCTGCAAAAAGCAAACCATTCATATAATTAACCGAATCTAAATCGATCGAGACGACAGAGAACGCACTTTTTCTGGTACATTCTTCGTAACCTCGTATCCCGAACTGTTCCTCTTCACCAGACCCATAAGAAATTCGTAGCTCCGCTTTTTCCTTTCCCCGCCTTCGCTGGTTGTTAATTTCGGTTTCAGTTCTCTATTATTCATGGCTTCGTGTGAATCTGGAGGTCTTCCAACAATTTCCTCATCTGGTTGATACGTAGTGTCCATTATCTGGAATTATATTCATAATGCAGAAGCATTAAATGTACACACCTTTAATATCAAATGAACGTAAAGAAATTCTTTATTTTGCAGCTAAAAATATAATTTTGTTAGCGTAATGAGAATCGATCGACGACGGCATTTTTTTTTGCTCGACCCGTATAATTCATTTATTAAAATTACTTTCATACAAAAAAAAAATCGTATTTTCCCTTAATTTATTTACAGATAATATCTAAATGGATCTCCTTGAAGTGTATACATTAATAATCTAGTTAATTAAAGTTCAAAACAAATATTAACAAACAACAAATATAAATCAAATGAAATACTGAATTTAAGCCAATTTTATTCACTGAATTCATTAATTAAATTTAATTTGTTTACAGAAAATGGACCTTCTTGAATAATAATATTTATTAAAACAGTAAAATTACAAAATAGAATAATAATAAAAAAAAACTGCTTCAAAGAGCTATTTCTTAAAAAATATTAATTAATAGTCAACGTAATTAAAGAACTACCAACACACAAAATAATTATTAAATTTCATAAAATTCTGTATAACTTTCAACATTATTTTAACAGAATTAAGCAAATTCTATTCACTAACGAATGACTATGTTTGCTTACCAAAAGTCATTTATAATAAACCAAATATTATTATTTAAGCTAAAACACATATAAATCATTTATTAAAATGCTTTGATATAAAGAGACTTGAATAAATTTAATTACAGATAATATCTGGATCTCCGTCAAGAATATTAATTAATAAACAACTTAATTAAAGTATTAAGGAGATATTAGCAAACAAGATAAAAAATCTAATGAATTACTGTATAGCAGAGTTTCAAAAAGATATTAACAGAATTAAGTCAATATTTATTCAATTTAAAAAAGAAACATTAAAGTAATTAATGTATCTTTATTAAATTGCCGTATATACTTGAGATTTTTAAAAACTAATATTTCTTCTTTCTTATGAAAAATATACAAATAATACTCTGAAATGATATGTAAATAAAGGAAAATGTATTGCTCAAAATATGAAAATAGAAATTATATCGACTACGGAAAATAAATTTAAAAATAGATCATATATATAAGAATAAATATATGTACTACAAAAGGGCATTACGTATATGTAGCGAAATGGACATGATGAAAATTGCATTGGCCGAAATGGGGTCAATATATTCATAGGAGTGTACACGAAATTGAATAGAATACGTGAATACATACAAATATTTGAGTGACGTCATTGAGAAATGATGTACATTTCTCGTGTTAATATGCATCAATCACGAAAAAATGTTTAAAATTGAATACAAGATATTCTTCATATTCTACAAATATATTTTCTTCAATGCAGACATTTTTGTTAAGTGCTATTAAAATCTAAGATTGTGTATGTGTACATTATCAAGTTTCAATATATAACTTTAATCTATCTTTGTAAGTTGTTAACGTGGCTTATGCTAAAACTTCTTGTTTCAATTAAATATTAGTTAATTTTCAAAATATCAAATACTCAAGTTGCTTAACTTTCAAATAAAACCATGGATTTCTTCATTTACAAACAATTGAATATTGCCTTAACACAAAAAAACAAATTATTATACAATTTGAAAATATTTATGTAAACGTGATATAATAATGAATACCATAAAAATTTGTCGAGTGTAAATATAATTTAGTTTTAGTTATATCAATGGGTCTATATCGCAAGCCCGACAACCGAAACCGTCTATTGAAATCCCGACTACCATAATCCCGACAATCAAAATCTCGACTATATTGAAATCCAGACTACCATAAAAATGTTATTGTAGAAATTTATAATAATAAAAGACACTGTCGGGATTTCGATATAGTCGGGATTTCGAACGTAGAAATTTTGCTTGCGATTGCGATATCAATTCAGAAGTAAAAATGAAGTGTTTTAACCTTCAAGAAACCACTTCTTTTGTACGCTGAAAATCAATAAAAATATTGTACATGGCACCACTTCATATGCGAATTGAAGGTAAGCGCACTCGACAAACATCAATATTATGTAATTCGATCGCACGTCGGGTCATGTATATACATAGTTTTTTCTCCATCCATCTCCAAATTAAATTATTTGCGTTCCTGTGTGAATGCGCCGGGTAATTTAAATATCGTTTAGCAGTTGTATTATTGATCACTGGGATTGCGAGAACTGCGTGTCGAAAATACACCAAAAAAAAACTTATTATTCAAATATTGAAAACGTGGGTATTACGCATCAAAAAGTTCAAGGCTACAATTTTTTCTTGATAAATCTTGATCCAAACATCTAATGTTCCAGATATGTACAGTGGGTGTTCGGTTAACGTACAGAATCCGTTCGTTAACTGAACATAGATTTGACTTAAGCTTCATATCACCACAAGCGTTACCACGGCAATGTGTTCGTTATCCGAATATATATTCGTTGTTCGATTTGTTCATAGTCCGAACTGTTCGTTAACCAATCACGAACTGTATTTTAATGTCAGGGAATGAACTGCGAGTAAAGTAAATACAATTAATTTCCCGTTAGTCCTTCTTTGCGACTGGCGTCATCTAATTCTGTCCTGATTAAAAGACAGTCGTTAAATTTGTTTGGGATCATAAAAAAACGAACTTTTGAAGGGAAGGAAGAAACAAAGAAGAAGAAAAAGTGAAGAGTCTGAGAGAGAGAGAGAGAGAGAGTTAGGAAAAGAAAGAGTGACGTCCCTTTCAGAATTCAATTCGTTTGATCATCAAGAGATCCCATCAGCATTTTAAGCACTTCTTGCCCCCTCGTCGTCTTATTCCCGAGAGTAATTTAGAAGTTTTTATTGTACCACTCAAATGGAACTTACACAATTGGTCGATTTATTGTTTTCCACAAAGGATTCCCAATCCCGTCTCACTTTCCACGGCTCACCCGCAGCAGCAGACGCGGGAGGAATCCAATTTCCATGCATCCCCGTGCCTTCTCCGCACATCCATCAACCGCATAAAGTTTCAATACAAAGTCCATGTTTTTAATATCATTTTTCCTCGAGCCATAACTTGTAATGGCGAATGTAAATAATGTACTCTTCTCTTGTATGAAGACAACGCACTAAAAAAACTTTCCTTTAAACTTTCATCTTTCCATATTCACATTTTTTTTGTAGAAAATGTTAGTCCACTCTTACATTATTAACTACCTTCAAACTTAACTACATATTGATTGAAATAGACTTCTTTATTTTGCATTCATAAGAAATCTGCTGTAATATTCATAATAGAAAAATACCAATAATAATTTTCTTTCACGTCTTATATTGATTAGATAATGGATACATAAATAATTATTAATGTTCTAAAATTCTATTATTAATCATTTTAATATTCATTATTTGAATTTTTAAGAAAACTAAGGGTATAAGTGATAATGTTTTCAAACTATCAAGAAAATTCATTGGAACATTGATATTTTATTTGAAACAAACTCTGCGATATTTTTAATACTCTACAAATTTACTTCTTTCAACTGAAACACCAGATACAAAAGTTAAACAAGTAGTTTAATAATGGTGTTTTTAATAATATGTAATTATTAAAACTTATACAATTTCTTCTTACCTGCTTATTTTTGAAATTTTAATTTATAATATTTTTTAATAATATATTAAATAAATATAATATACTAAATAAATATTTAAATTTCATTCATTGTCATGCAGATTTCATAGCCAGAACATAGAATGGTATAAGTATGGTAATGATGACTTTCATTAATTGTATAATTTCAAGAAAAAAAAATTACACCAAAAACATGAAACTTTTATTTAAATTTTTTGATTAATTGAAAGCCATAAATAAAAAAATTGAAATAAATATTAAAGTGTCAAATTTTGATGTAATTCTAGGATTGTGGTGTTAAGTGAAGCGTTTCCACTGTATTTTTTTTAATTTCATTTTTCTTTGTATATTATTTTGCATTATATTTCTTTTAAACTTTTCAGCAAAATATATCCTTAACTTATATTAACTTGTGTACATTGTATAATCTATTTAATATAAAAATTGTTATAATATTCCTAATTAGTATATTAATACTTGAATATATTCCATAGAATTTGTCAAATTAAACGGTTGTAATTAATATCATAAATTTAAATTAAATAATTACAGCAACGTTTTAGAAATATATATGTATTCCTAACATAATTTATCTGCAAAATATGTTTCGTAATAGTGTACAGACCCAACAACTTCCAGAAACTACTATGAGTTATCTCCTAGTTTTCCCTTCCAAACTGAATATCGACCAGCAGCAGAGTCTTTATTAACGTATTCATATGAAACATGTTGGAATTGGAACTAATCGTTTAAATCCATTATTTCATTCTTTTCGCCCAATTGCATTAAAAATTAGTCATCGCGTTCAATATGTGACCCATTTAGTGGGAACGGTTCGAATCAAGTTGCAGTGATTACTTTCCAATCGGAACTGCACTAACGACTCGTCACACTCTAGCATCAATTTTCAAACATTCTCTCAAATTAATCATCAATTATGTATAGGCTCATATGTTATTTACTGTTGAACTGCATAAGATGTATTTACAGTACATTTGAAACTTTGTGTTTTGAAATGTTATTTGATGTTACTCAATTAAAAAAATGAGAATTTCTGAAATATAAGCGAAACAAGAAAAACAAATGTGAAAACTGAGAAGTTATTCAAATTAATCATCAATTATGTATAGACTCATATGTTATTTACTATTCAACTGCATAAGATGTATTTACAGAACATTTGAAAATTTATGCTTTGAAATGTTATATTTAATGTTACTGAAATATAAGCGAAAAAGGTAAAACAAATGTGAAAACTAAAAGAGAAACTTTGGGCTTTGAAATGTTATATTTGATGATACACTATTAAAATTGAAATATAAACAAAAAAGGCAAAACAAATGTGAAAACTGAGAAATTACTGTAACTAATATAAAAAAGTGTAAATATTTTGATTTGATAAACATTTAGAACTTAATTATTAATTATAATTTTCCTTATCAATAACTTGTAGCAAAACATATCAATCGCAAAGAATATATTAAAGCTGCTTTTTCTCACAAAAAGTGTGAATATTTTTGATAAACTTTAAAAACTTAATTATTAATTACGTTTTTCTCTACTAATAACTATATCAAATTGCAATTGATCTCTTTCTAAGAAATATCAAGCTCAAATAATTTACTAAAACGAATATTTCTAAGTGAAAGCACCTGAAAACTATGAGGAGAAACCGTAGCTGATACCAAAAGAGGGTGAATATTTTATCGATAAAACCAAATGCGTAAAACGATTCAAAATATTTGATCCACTTTTACAATTTTTTCAGTGACTAAAATTTACTTCATGTAAATTGCATTTTAAATTATTGTAACTTATATTATACAGTCATACATATGTTAACGTTACATTTGACTAGAGAATAAAGAGGAAAATCTACAAAATTTAAAACGCAATTGAAAACATTGATGTGCTACGAGTTTATTAGTAGAAGAAGAAATAACAACCAAGAAATGTATAATGAAGTTATACAGATGTCTCAATAAATGTCAGTAAAGCTATAAGTTTATTGAATGCAGAAGATGATGGTTTTATATTAGAAGATTTAGAAAACCTTGGGAGTAAAATAACAAAAAAAAAATAAAACAATATGAAGTTATGAAGAATTGTTATCATTGTTGAATTCAATAACTATAGTATAGATAATTTTTAAATAAAAGAGAAACAACTGTTTATTTAATAAATCTTTTCATTTTCTTCCATTCTGTCCATAATATATTTACTTCTGAAAACGAAGTTTCGCTTATCGTTGAAGAATTGACGAAACATTTAATATTTATTATAAAAATACAAATTGTTACGATTTATTTGATCAAATTTCATTGATAAAAAACATTAATACCACTAGCATACGTTGGTGTAATATTTATTTCAAATAAGTATTTTCTATCACGCGAAGAAACGTGAAAGAAGATACTTACGACAAAGACACCGACAATGGGGATCTTTTTTCAGAAAAGAATATTACATCATAGATATACCTTATATTAAATATAAATTATTCATTGGTGAACATAATAGCAATAATGAATTCTTTCGAAATAAAACAATAATAAATAATTTAATTAGATTTTACTAAAAAAAATTATTGTTTTTTTTTGTCTAAAAGTATTCCGTCTTAATTATTTCATTAATTCTAAAACAGTTTTTAATTATTAAAACGTATTTACAATAAGTCTTTGGTTATTTTTTTTTAATTTTATTTACTGTTGCAATAAATGTTATTATTAAAGAAAAACTAATTTTTTATTTATTATTTAAAATGTGTTTTTGTAGATTATATAGTAGTGATTTTTATTTAACAAATGACATGTAAATATATGTAAGTACATTCATTTAAATGAGTCTTATCACTGTTTGGGTGTATAGAAGATTGAGTTGTTCATTGTCAAGGAATAATAAAGAAAATCATTTATGCTACTGAAAACTCACCTCTTCTCCACTTATGTTTGCATTATCGTCCCCATATCCATAAAGAGCTAAAAAAAAATGTAACAAAGTAATTTCAGTGCTGGAAGCTGTTCATTAAAAGGATTAAAATCGAGTTAAAATCTAATCGGAAAACAATTAGGTCGGTAATTAGTCTTGCTGCTAATGAATGTTCTGCATTCGTACTCGCTCTCATAGACACACATTTCCTCTTCCTCGCATACATACATTTTTTTTGTAAAAACTGCAATATCAGCCAGAGTAGAGTTTTCAGCCCATTGGGTATTTCCTCAATTTCGCAGTCGAATAAGTTCAAAATAATTTATTGATTTTATTATATATGCGAAGAAGAAGTCGGAAGAAAGAAACAAACGCGATGAGGGGTGTAGAAGGATGAGGTAGGAAATTGATGTGTGTATGCACTATGTTGTAACATGGAATCCGTCAAATTTCAATTCCTCTATCAATGAACCTACCTTGACATGTCAGACCGATGAACATGTAGACGGTGAAACTGAGGCTCCTCGGATTCATTTTCTGGTCGTTCCTGTGCGGTTCATATAGATTCCGTACGTCTGGGGGTACAATAAAAGTGGTGTATTTACATTTTACACATGCAATGCACCTGAACGATGGTACTGTGTGGACGAAATGCTCGACTAATGCATTTTCCACAGACTATGATGCTCGTTTATATTATCATGCGCCTTAGCGATTTCCACCAATGCAACCCCTAAACATGGAAATTTCGAGCATGCGTTTCCTATTTTCCAGGTCCTCACTAAGATGGAAAGCCACCAAAATCTCATTCCAGAGAAAAAAAATATAACACAAATTCATTATTGAAAAAATAATAAGTAATACAAATATTTCTATATATAATATAATTGAAAGAATAGAATAAAGTCAATAGACTATAAAAAAAATTACTTAACTGATAACGAAGTTCGTAATTGTCCGAAAACATTGATAAATCTTGGAAAGAAGTTACCGGAGTTTGACACAAAATATAGCCAAAAAATATCCATTAACAAAGATGTTAGAAATGTATTCAATGCAGAAGATGATGAAATGAGAAAGTATGCGTTTTAAGTGGTAATCGAGGAATTACTATATAAAATGTAGTAATTATATTAACACACTATTTTTTGTCCTAGCATTTCCATTTCTTACAGAATATACTCTATTTTGGAAAGATCTTCATTTTAGGTTTAGGTAAGAACATGTCAATACAATTTTTATTTACTTAACTTATTTACTTTTTTTATTCAAACAAATGTTCAGGTATCAGCAAATTAAGTTTTATAAAATAAATTTCAAATGTATATACTACTACTGTACATAAAATGTGTTGTTACAGAATGTTATCATTTCAGATTATACGAAATTAATGGCTTTAGATAAAATTAAAAAATTATATACTTCAAATAATACTTAAAAATTTACCATGAAACTATTTAAAATTGTATGAGATTTTAAATTCTTCTACTTCTTTTCTATTTCATTCATCTATACTTCTTATTCAAATTAATCAAATCATTAATGTAATGTTTTCATTCTTAAATTGTTATATTTGTATTTAAAAAAAGCTCTTAGTAATTGTAGAAACTTTAAGTATTCTTTGATTTTCACATAGATTTGTAGTTAATTAGAAGTGATGAAATAGTGTGAGATTGTGTGTAATTGATTTTTTTTGTTAAATAAGCTGATTTGTTGATTTCGTTAATTTTAGCAGGGATAATTTAATTTCATTTTCATATTTGTCTACTGTGTATAGGATTGTTTCTAATACGAACAGATTTTGTAACATTTATTAAAATTCTATATAAAATAGAATATTTTATTTATTAATTAATTTTAAACAATATTCTACACTTGAGTTGTTGTATTTCATTGAAATAACTATGATAAACAGTCAACAGATATGTTCAAAGTAAATGAAATTTATATAACGGTAACATTTATGATTTTTTTTTAAGACCAGACCATTCAATGGGAGAAACCGTAACCTTCTCAAGATGTTCAATGGGGTTAGGTACATAAAAGAAAACCGGTAGATAGCATTAATTAAATTTCGCAGGTATACAAATTTGTATTCTCAAGACAGTTTTAAAGGGATGTATAGACTTGTTTACAAAATACATTTTAGAATTAGTTTATAAACTTTATATTTTAAAATACGTTTATTTATAATTCAACTATTTATATATTATGTAGGTTAGTGTTTGATAATATTATTTATGCTGAAATATTGCTGTTATTAGTATAACTTTTTTATGTGTACAATAAATGTTACTGTACTTAAGTATTTAATTTTGCTTATGTAATTTATAGATTTTGTACTATGTTCGTAGATATTGGCTTTGTGGTATAAATAGAAATGAATTTGAATATTCACATGTAAATTTAACTGAATCCAGTTCTGTTCTGATAGAGACCAATAGGATTTGAAGCATGCTCGGAGCCGTTCGTTCTTCTGCGCAGGTAGTTTTATAAAAAAGGCCGTTAAATTCATGTGTTCTTATAAGTATTCTCGTTTTGAATAAGTCCGTTGAAGCACGTGTAAAAATTTGAAATTTTTTGTTTTATCATTTGTGTTTAACTGTTTTATGTAATGCATTGTTAAGTTGGCTGTGATAGTAACTCACCGGTACAGGTAAACACACGTTTTTCAATTTATTTAAACTTCTTTGCCGGCGCCGAAGATTTATGTTTTCACACCGTATTCATATGTCATGATCTTATCATCAATACACATGACAAAACTTAACCATTCACATATCTGAAAAGTGCTGAAAAAGTTATTGGAAGTGACTACCAATATATAACCTATACCTAGATAATCAACGTTTTCTTATCCAAACATTTAGCATGTCTCAAAGAAAGTCCATACTTCAAAATGAACAGCAAGCACCTGGCTCACCCCTGCGGAGGTCTTCTAGGATTGCCAATTCTCCAGCACCACCTCCAGTTGCAGCACCAGTTGCCACAGTTACACGACGTAGAAGTTCTGCAACAGCTGTTGAAGCTAGTGCCCCTGCTAAATTGTTGAAATCCAAAAGGTTATCATTGTCACAAGATAATCCAGTTGAAGCCCCATCAACACCAAAGAAGGGAGCTAGAGTTACTCGGGGTGCAAGCAAATCACCCACATCACAAAATGAAAAGGCTGCAACTCCTGCAAAAAGAGGAAGAAAAAGTAAGTTTGCTTTTGTTTATTATATATAAACTACAAGAAGATGCATGTTCAATTCCTTAGCATTTTTTCAATTATTTAAGTATCATTTTTGTTTGTTCAATAATTTGTTTATTATAAGTAGACATTGTTTTGTTTATTTTGACATAAATTATTGTAGCTTTTGTAAAATAGATTCTAGTTTGATATTAAATTTTGAACAAAGTGTACAACGACAGTTCTATGTTAGTGCCCTTTGGTTGGCACTGTCTGCAGATCAATACATTTTCTTATTATTATATGTCCTGGGAGTAGAGACTAGGTGTGAAGTGTAGTCTGGACCAGTGATAGGTCTTTCCAAAGATATATTGATAACACAATAATTATATCATATAATTTTAGGTTCTATTGCTAAGGTGGAAGAAGAAAATCAGCGAGTTGCATCTCCAGCAATTGGTCCCTTGACTACCAGGAGAAGATCTGTTCGGGGACAGAGTACATCACCAAGTAAGGATAAACCTGAACCAGCAAAGACCAGAGGAAGAAGAGCTTCAATTACAGAGAAAGTAGGTAATTTGGAATCAATTGAAGAAAACGATGCTTCAAATAAAAAGGCTGCACCAAAAACAAGAAGGAGTTTAGCTACACGTCGTACTTCTCTAGACGTTCCTGAAGAAATGGAAGATATTAAGAGTGTTTCTGATACAAATGAGAAGATGGAAGTTATTGAAGAACCCAAGAAACTAGATTTGAATCCAATTATTGAGATTGCCGAAGAGAGTGAGGAGAACGTGCTTGAGGAATCTTCCAGCTCCCTTAACTCCGAGGATAAAATGATGTTTAAATTGGCGGTATCAGAAAAAAGGATTATTCCTATATCCCCTCTATCGATATCGCCTGAAAAAGATTCATCAGTGCCATCAACTGAATCTAACAGTCCGGTTAAATTTACCGATTCACCTCCGAAACTGATGGATACAGATATGTTAAATAAAACCACACAAGACTTGTCAGAAAAGACTGAAGAGAGGTCGGATGTTGACGAAAACCTGGTAGCAATTGATGATTCTCCTGTAAAATCTAAAGAAAACACTAGCGATCCTAAAAGTACACCAGCAAAAGAAAAAGTAAATTTCGATGTTGATGTTAAGTCTGATAAGAAAACAAATGAAGACGACGTTGAAGCTATGGACATTTCACAAGATGATAAATCGATTGATGAAGATGTTGTCGAAGAATCCCCTACGAAATCCAATGAAGAAAAAAGATTTGAAGATATGCAAATATCTTCAACGAAATCTAAAGACTCATCTGAATTACAAGATGAACAAGATTCTCTTGAAAAGTCTAATGACGTGCCAACCTCAACAGATGTTAAAATTGTGGATGAATCTCCAGACAAATCCAAAGATAAATCTAAATTGGAAGATAATGAATTCGTGAATGAGTCTCCAGTTAAATCGAAAAAGTCATTAGAAGATTCTCGAATCGTTGAAGATTCCCCAGCAACATCTGAAACTAATTTGGAAGATGTTGATGTTGTGAAGGATTCCCCTGTTAAATTAAATGATAAACAAAAATCAGTAGATCTAGAGGATTCTCCAACAAAATCTATAGATCAAGTTGTTGATGATCAGAAAGCTTCGACTAGTAAGGATGAATCTGATGACATGAATGTATGTGAAGTATCAAAACAAAATATCGAAGTTATTGAAACAGTTGTTGAAACTCCAAAAACTGTAACGACTTTAAAAGAGGATGTGAAAAATTCACCGATAAAAATAGCAGATCTTACGTACGAAAATTTGAATGCTTCCGTTGAAACTAAAACTGATTCAAATACCAGTATTACTACCAAACAGAACACGCCTATTAAAACTCCCAAAAAAGTGCTGTCAATGAAGCAAATGCAAGATAATTCTATCGCTTTAGAGAAACCAATTACTCCATCTAAACAGTCTCCAAATGTGTCTGCAAGCAAAAAACATGATGAATCGTTAAACATCAAGAAGACCCCGAAAAGTGATGTTAAAAAAATTGAAGAAGTGGAACAAATTAAATCCACTGAGAAAAATAAGTTGTCAAAATCAATATCAGAAGAAGCCAATTCTCTAAATACATCAAACAAGAAAACTCCAAAGAAAAAGAACGAAGATTGCTTGATTGTAAATGAATTTGAAATGGTTTCAAGTTCTGATGGTTCATTCCACTTGAATTTTTCCTTGCCAATGGCTGATGTCGAAGACAAGAAAGACGTTCTAAACAGTACAGGCGGAAGCAATAATTCCGATAAGGAAAATATACAATCTCCTGAAAAAATAACAGTGAAAACGCCGTCAAAGGTATTTTCCGAATTGAAGGATGTCAAAAATCAAAGCACTCCAAAAATTAAATTAAGCGAACTAACTAAACCCGTTGATGATGACATAGAAATGTCTCTGGGTAATAAATCGACTGATCTAATAGTAAATAATGTGATGGTAGCCAAAGAAACGGATCCTGAACAGGACCTTATAAAGGTTTTGAATGAGTGCAAACCAGAAACTTTAGTCTTATCCGAAAAAATCCTCAACAAAAGTGTCAGCATTGATACTGTTAAAACGCCGCAAAAGCAAAATCTAAGCGAAGATGTCAAAGATGTTTCTGCTGATAATAAACAAATGGATAAAGACGAAGAGAGTTCCACTGCTTCACCCAAAGAAAAGGAAATCGATCAATCATCAGCAGAATTGAGTGTACACAATAAAACTGTTGAGATGGAAATCGATGTTCCAGCTTTATCCACAAGTAGTGAGCAAGAAATTGATAAGAATGTATCCAGTCCAAACGTGGGTGATGACATTAACAAGTCCAAAGAAGAGAGTGCAAGTTTAGAACACAATGATCAAGAATCTGATAGTGTGTCCAGCGAAAATTTAAGTAATAATATTGAAGAAAATAATAAGTCAAAGGATGAAAATACAACTGTTGAATCCGAAGAACTCGAATCGAGCAGTGCTAGCTCAAAAACCACTAGTGAATCGAGCAGTGCTAGCTCAAAAACCACTAGTGAATCAAGCAGTGCTAGCTCAAAAACCACTAGTGAAGAGTCTAAGGAGACTTCAGATGATATGGAAGGTGAATGTAATAAATTAAATAGATCGCAGTCTAAGGAGACTTCAGATGATACGGAAGATGAATGTAATAAATTAAATAGATTGCAGTCTAAGGACACTTCAGATGATATGGAAGGTGAATGTAATAAATTAAATACATCGCAATCGAAAAATGTAGAGAAACCACCGGAACAGAAAATTACTGACGATGATATAAATGTATCAAAGAGTATGGAAAAAAGCAGTTTAATAATTAATGATTCTACGAATGACGATACCTCAAATTTTGAAATATCCATCAATGTAGAGGAAGTAATCAAATGTAAAAGAGCAAGTTTGCTTAAAATTGTGAATGAAGAAAAATCTGCTGTAATTGAACCTGTGCAAACATTACCTGAAGCCGATACCGTGAAATCTTCTGAAAATTCTGATGTCGATGTTCAAATGCCAGAAAATGAGATCATCGCTGAAGTTGATAACGAACCAAAAATTACAAGTTCTACTGCGGAATTTTCAGATAATGAGGAAGAATCTGAAATCATGCAAGTAAAAAGCAAAAAGAGATCTTTAAAGAACCAAAAAATTCTTGAACAAAGTATTGTGGAATCAACAGAACATTTATCTGTTTCAAAACTCAGCAAAAAATCTGACTCAAATGATTTGTCTGATGAAAATCTAGAGGAAAGCATTATGAATAAATCGCATTCAAGCTCGAAACGCAAATCAAATAAAAGAAAGTCTAAATCCAAAAAAGAGGAGGCTGTTTTCTCCGCTGAAGAGGACGCTATTTTCTACGAAGAGGAGGAAATTGAAACTGCTAAGCAGGTGAAAATCAGAAAGGACAAAAATAATAAGTCCAGCAAAAGGAAGAATACCAAAATTATTTCTGACAGTGACAATGAGTGTAGTGAATATGATCAGGATACTTCTGATGTAGAGAGCAATGAGGATGATGAAAATATATGCAATTTGCAAGTAACAAATGACTCTGATGATGACAACTCTAATAATGATGATAACTTCCTAGATGATATGGCTATGGAAGGCGAAGAGGACACTCCATCTGAGGGTAGCAATGATCTCCCCGAGTACGGTGAATCTTTACATTCCTCCGAAAGCGATAGGAATGACAGCGATGAGGATTATGAAGTCGATTCGTTTATTGATGATAATGAGTCTGTCGAATTGCTTTCTGGCAATGAATATGATATATCAGATGTGGATAAAAAGGACAAAAAGAAGTCCAAGAAGAAAAGGTCTAGGATTTTGTCTATATCGGAGAGTGATAATGAGGACGCTGAAAAAACTAAGTCGAGTGAAGAAGTTGTGGACATTCAGGAAACAAAGAACGTACGAAAATCCAAGTCACCTATGAAAGCAGTAAATCAAATTGAGGTCCTTTCAAATATTACTATTTGTCAAGCCGATGAAGAAGAATTATCCGACGAGAATGTTGGTGTCGAAGAAGAAAAACAAGAAAGTAAAGTAATAGTATCTGACGAAAATAACGAAATTGAAGAAAGTGAGAAAATTAGTGATAGTTTTATTAAGGATAAGTCTAGGCGGAAGTCTAAGAAAAGAACTTCGATTAGTCTGCAAGAGAATTTAAAACTGTCCGAATTGACTGATGAGACAATTAACGAGAAAATTGCAAAAGCCGTTGACTTCTTCTGTTCTTCGATAAAAGATTCTTCTGGAAATGTATCTCTTAACGTATCACTTGACTACGCGAACAATTCATCCGACGATGAATCGAAACCATCTCCACCAAAGAAGAAGAAAATCAGTATTGGATCAACAGTTGCAAGTAAACCAAAAGTCGTCGAAAACAAAGCTGAAATTTCCTTAAACGAATCCAAAACTGAGAAGAAATTGAAGAGAAAGTCCTTGACTGTCGAGCCTGAAATTCCAGATTCTGATAATAACGACAAATTACAAAGTAAGAACAGTCCAAATAAAAACAAGAGGCGTAGTACAGAGAAAACTAAAATCAAAAATAATATTGAGAATATCGCGAATGAAGAAGAACCAAATGCAGCGGATGAAGCACCTCCGAAAAAGAAAAAGAAGGCAAAGAAAAATGCCAAAGATTCGCCTGTATTAGACAACATTCCAACACAGCACATTGAATATTTACCCGAATCTCTTATAACTGAACTAGCAAAGAATACGAAGGTAAGCTTGAGAGAAAATTCGCCTATAAATAAAAATAAAACATTGAAGAAAAAGAAAATCAGAATTGCGCCAACTATGATTGGATCTGATGATTGGGATATAGAATCGATGACGAGAATTAAACCATCAAAGTCTAGCATCAAGCCGCCAGTTAAAATGCAGCTACAGAAGCAGCAGGATGATTTGCCGGTCAATGATTTCCGCAACAGGAAAATTATATCGTCCTCGCGCCGTGAAGATTTTAAGAAGATCCTCAAAACCAAGAAAAATAAATTACGTTAAGTCATTTTAAATTGTCATTTTTTTTATGCTGTGCATCGATATTTTTTATACATAGTGATTACAATGCCTATAAAATAAAAAAAAGTTATATTATTATTCTTTATATTTTTTTATAGTTGTGTATTAAATGTTTAGCAGGTAATATTTATTATTTAAGATATATAATGGATTGTTAAAAAACATTTATAACTTGCAGTGGTTTTTAGAACAGAAGATTTAGGATGATCTGCATTTTCTTAGTATATTATATATATTTAATAATTGTATTGGAATGTGTTTGTTTTATTATGTGGAATAAATAAATATACTCTAATTAATATAGTATTAACTTTATCCAAAATTAATCCTGTTAAAAAGTTTAAGAAATATAATGGTTATGAAATTAAACTATAAATTTTGTTAATTCTGAAAGTTAGTATTGTTATCATTTTCAAAGAAAACAATAGTTAGTGTTATACATTCTGTTATATAAGAATTCATATTAAATCTTATTGGACTAAGTAAGTTATTTGAACTAGGATTCAAAAATTCAATTTAACTACTAACTTCACGCAGTAGAATCAGTACGCCGCTAAAATGAAAATATCCCTATAAATATATTATTTTTGTAAATATAAAATCCCCAGAATTTAGAGATGACTGTGTGATTTTGTTGATGACTGGGAATGACAGTGGATTTGTTTGTCTGAATTCATTACCTTCATTCGTTACAGTTTTGATCTGCAATGGTAAGTATTATTATTGTGTCCTATAAGAACCATTGTGAATCTACTTTGGCTTTTTAAAGGGTCAAAACCAGTCCGGCCCAGGTGGCAATGATAAAAAGGATGACAAGGATAAGAAGAAAAAATATGAACCTCCAATTCCAACTAGAGTCGGCAAAAAGAAGCGCCGCACTAAGGGGCCCGATACAGCTTTGAAATTACCTGCTGTAACACCACACACAAGATGCAGGTTGAAGTTGCTGAAATTGGAACGTATAAAAGATTACCTCTTGATGGAAGAGGAGTTCATCCGTAATCAGGAGCGTTTGAAGCCCCAGGAAGAGAAGAATGAAGAAGAAAGGTCCAAGGTTGATGATCTTAGAGGAACACCAATGTCCGTAGGCACCTTAGAGGAAATTATTGATGATAACCATGCAATTGTATCTACTTCGGTAGGCAGTGAACATTATGTGAGCATATTATCATTCGTTGACAAAGATCAGTTAGAGCCTGGCTGCTCTGTGTTGTTGAATCACAAAGTACATGCTGTTGTTGGTGTATTGGGAGATGATACTGATCCGATGGTCACAGTCATGAAACTTGAGAAAGCCCCACAAGAGACTTATGCAGATATTGGAGGACTGGATACTCAAATCCAGGAAATCAAAGAATCTGTAGAGTTGCCACTTACCCATCCAGAATATTATGAGGAAATGGGAATAAAACCACCAAAAGGAGTAATTCTCTATGGACCTCCTGGCACAGGAAAAACTTTACTGGCTAAAGCTGTGGCCAATCAAACCTCAGCAACATTCTTAAGGGTTGTTGGTTCTGAACTGATTCAGAAATATTTAGGAGATGGACCAAAATTGGTCAGAGAACTTTTCAGAGTTGCTGAAGAACATGCACCTTCCATTGTATTTATAGACGAAATTGATGCTGTAGGAACAAAGAGGTATGATTCAAACTCTGGTGGTGAAAGGGAAATTCAAAGAACCATGTTGGAACTGTTGAATCAACTTGATGGATTTGATTCCAGAGGAGATGTTAAGGTAATAAAACATAAAATCAAATATAAAATGTATATTAAAATTTTAAATTACAGGTCATTATGGCTACCAATCGTATTGAAACTTTGGATCCAGCTTTAATTCGTCCAGGACGTATTGACAGGAAAATTGAATTTCCGTTACCTGATGAAAAGACGAAGAAGAGAATTTTCAACATACACACTTCAAGAATGACTTTGGCTGAAGATGTTAATCTTCAGGAGCTCATCATGGCCAAAGATGACCTCTCAGGTGCCGATATTAAAGCCATCTGTACCGAAGCCGGTTTAATGGCCCTCAGAGAAAGAAGAATGAAAGTAATGAATGAGGACTTCAAAAAGTCCAAGGAAAGTGTGTTGTATAGGAAGAAGGAGGGAACTCCTGAAGGTCTTTATTTGTAATCTTTTTGTGTATTTTTGTTTTGAGAAAATGTTTCTTAAATAAAAAATAATAATTAATTACATTAATCATTAATTTTATATTTATTACGAATTGTTTCAATTTCTGTATTTGTATCAATTGTTTGCTTCTCAATAATAAAGGAATTAGATTGATTTTTTACTGTTGGATCTTTGCATATCACACAGTTTCCTCTTCTTGTAGGCAAAGCTTTCAGAGCATCATCATTTTTAATTCTAAAATGAAAGTAATATGTAATTTTTGAATAAGTACAGCAGTAATTAGTTTTCTTTACTTGGTGATAGCTTTGATTCTACCAAATTGGAAACCATTTGAAAATCCTTGTTTGTAACCCTCATCAAAGGATTCTTGGAAATTTTTCTCCCTACCATCTGAAATCCCTTCGCGATAACCGACCTAAAGAGTATTTGTTACAAAAATGAGCATAACCTCCTTAACTTTGGTTTTGTAGACATGGACATACCTTCTCTGAATCTCTAACTAGTTTGTTCCATGTGTTGTGATCTAAATCTTCCATTGCTTGTTCCTATTAATGTAAATAGGAAAACTTTAACAATTACTTGAAACTCTTATAGATATAGTGTGTATCATTCGTGCTGTGTACAGGTTTCAAATATACAGCAAAACAGTAAGTAATCTTAGGTTATGTTTGTAAAAATATTTTGAAGATTACTTTAAGCACAAAGTATAAGTTATTATTATATTTTAAGAATAACAACAATGAGTGCATCAACTTCAACTGACCCACTTGAAGACAAAATTATAGATTTAGCCAAAGAAAGAGAGAAAGGAATAACTAATCAAGATATCCAGAAGGAATTGAGTGATATTCCAGCTGCAGATTGGACTAAAGTAATTAATAAATTACTGAAAAATGGGTAAGAATATACAAAATATTGTAGTTCAATGTGAATTATGTTTATTTTTATTTTAGGACATTGGAGTTGTTTAAAGACAACAATGAACTATTCTATAGATTCAAAGATCCTGAGAAGAAAGGTAATTTGAAAGGATCAGACAATGAGGAGAAGGTTGTATATAAGATTATTGAGGAATCTGGGAATAAGGGTATTTGGATAAGGGAAATTAGATTTAAATCAAACCTGAATATGACACAGTTAAATAAAGTTTTAAAAAGTCTTGAAACAAAGAAGTTCATCAAAGCCGTAAAATCAGTAGCTGTAAGTGATCAATCAAAAAGTATTAACAACAAATTTCTTCATTACAATAATATTTTTAGGCAAGCAAAAAAAAAGTTTACATGCTGTATGATCTGGAACCAGACAGCTCTGTGACTGGTGGCGCTTGGTATCAGGATCAGGACTTCGAATCGGAATTCGTGGATATATTAAATCAGCAGTGTCACCGCTTCTTGCAGGAAAGATACGAAGACGCTCTGAATCAAGGCGGTGGACCTTTGCTGATTCGCAACAGGAGTTACGCGACGGCCAACGATGTGCACAAGTTTATATCGGAATTAGGGATCAGTAAGATCGTCTTGTCTGTTGAAGACTTGGAGAGTATTTTGTACACGGTGGTTCTAGACAACAAAGCTGAAAGGATTGTTAATGCAAATGGTTTGAATTTCTATCGAGTCATTAACAGGTTTCTACCCTCGCCAGGAATCGTGAAGACAACGTGCGGTATTTGTCCTGTGGCGCATAGATGCGGAGAGACTGGACAAATAACACCAAAAATTTGTAGCTATTTGACTGATTGGTTAAAAGAATAAAAAAATACTGTGTAATTGTATTTATTAATTGTTATTGTTATTTTTTTGTTGATTATTTCATATTATCAAGATAAATTTAATATTAATTCAAAGAAAATCGAAACAATTTTATAAATAAGTTGCTTATGAAATGATACACATTCCTTTATCTAATTTCAATGTCCAATACAATTTGAGTTATAAAACTGAATTAACAGACAGATTTTTTGGAAAACATTTTACAATTAAAGTATTCAAGTTATGTTATTTTTTATGCAAATAGTATTAAGATATATAAGTAAATTAATGAAACAGAAAAGTTATATCGATATAAATCAATTAGTTTAATTGTAATTACAATAATATTGTGTCTACAACGATATTATTTTGTGTCTTTGAAAAGTGCGATTATAAAATAAAAAACGCAAATAGCTTTACTGAAACCTAGGTATTGATTTCAGAATATATTCTATTTATACAATTGTGTTGTGGTGTTACCAAGGATAAGAAAGCCTGAAACCAATTATTCTTATCACAGACCAAAATAGAATAACAATTTTAAAAAACAAACAAACTACTTTATCAGCAAATTAAATTATTAAATTCCTGAGAATGCAAACTTATTGGTTTACATAAAAAATATTCACCGAATATTTTGATAAAATAATTTATGTTGATTAAAAAAAGGCAACAGCATAAAATATGAAAAAAGAAGAGGTAAAAATGTAAATAACTATGCAAATAAAATTTATGGAATTAGCTTAAAGATTCTAAACCGCGCCCTTCGAGGTTTCGATTTTTCGTAAATGACCAGATTTACAAGCGACTCATCTCTCATTGTCTGCAAGAAATATTGACCTTTATTTGTTTTTTATGCAAGAAAAACAATTTTAATTGTGGTTTCTTATATAAATATTTGTGTAATAAAACGAAATTATCGAAAGATTATGTTTATATATAAACTAATTTTATTACCGAAACAAAATCTCATTTTACTGCTTATTATAATCTTTAAATTGTTTGTTGTTGTATTCAAAACTGAATGTTATGTCTCTTATTTGGCTTAAATTTTAGGCATTGAATCCACTAATAAAATTACATATGAATATCTGATAATAATCAGCAGTTAATCAAGATGAGATCTTTTAGAACGCCATTATAGAAGGTGTATAATCCCAGATCATCCCTTACATTTTTAAGAAGTAATATGAATGTATGCTTCTTGTTTATAAACATTACTGCTCTATAGATCATATAATTATTAGTAATTATGCAAATTGCAACTCCGCTTTAGAGATATAGCAAATAAAATCTATTTACAAAAGTAAATTAGGAAACATCGACTTTGTTCGTTGTAGTGTATAGAGGCCAGGATTTAGTTTGCATTTTATGAAGGTTAAATATAGTTTATTTGATGGTGGTTACAACTGTTAAGTATTCTAAGTAATTATTAATGCATAATAATTAATTAAGGAATAGTCATAATGATTTGATTGTATATGTAAAGATGAAGTATATAGTTGAAATGAATGATCTATAAAACATGTAGTGTAGACCCTATAAATAGCGAATAGTTTAGAATGCCCTTTCGTGCGGTCATTTAAATCAGGAATGTTCGTTGATTCGTTCAGTGGTAGCAGTTCTGTTGGCAATTCTATTGAATGCTATCCTCAGGTATGCCTAGGTTGGTGTGCATGGCATTTAAATGTCCCTACGAACGTTAGTGTTTTAGATCTATCTAACGCATGCGCGATCCGAATTGCGCCTGCGAAATTCAGTTGCTGCCGTGAAGCCGATATATCCTCTGTATTAAGTGAAATTTTAGTGTTGTACACAACAGAAGTTCTAATGAATTATGCCATTCATCGAAACAAATTGATCTCTATTGACTTTGGCATTTCCTATATAGATTAATGTCGAATTAGTGGTGCACGTGTACTTTTAAATTGCATGTTTACGTACATGTGCTGTTCTCTAGTTTTCCCTCCAAACTTGTTAAATAATCATGCCTCTGCTCAAGAATCGGACGCTGGAAAAGGCACCCATATCGGAATTCCTCAGGGACAATGAGGAGGTTTTCCATTGCGAGATGACCAACGAAATCTTCAGAGATTACGAGTAAGTGTAGTCCGTTCTGTGAGCGGCTTTCCCACCGATTTTACCATGCATGACCTAACGGTTTAGACGGTTCACGGTTTTGATTCTCTAAAAAAATCATTGGCAATCGCCTGCACCATGCGCTCGAGCATTGCTCATAGCGACTTCCAAATTAATAACCCTCAAGGTTATGTCTTCATGTATTCTCCTTACACAGATCTATGTTTAATGTGCTTTTATGCTTTCAGTGACTTTGCGGAAAAGACGATTTTATGTAATTCCATGGTATGGACCTGCTCTGTCACTGGGAAGGCTAATCTAACATATGAGGAGGCTCTCAGGAGTGAGAACAGTGCCAAAAAAATGCTTGCTACCTTTCCAGAACACATGAAAATCCCATTACTCTACATTGCATCCTTAACAAAAAGGAGCTCATTTAAAGACATGGCAGATGATATATTTTCTTTTGTGAAGAGGAGATATTTTGTGGGTGAACAAGTGGATGCTATGCTGGTGAAGAGAGATTGGCAAACATGCAAAGTAGTTAAAGTTATTGCACCATCAAAGGAAGAACTGGAAGCTTACAAGAATTCACCAGAGTAAGAAAAGCCCATCCATCAACTAACTATATCTCTAATAAGTCTTTGATTTTCTAGGGCAACAAGCAACTCTAATAACAATGAAAGCTTTCTACCACCTGTCTTATATAAATATAAATTAATAGTAGTAAAGGATAATGCTACAAGTAATGTGTCTGAAACTAGTATTGTCAAGTTTTCAAACATTAGAAGGAAGCCTTTCATTTACACAACTGAGAGCAACAAATTATTCTTGAAGCAGTACATTGAATCTAGCAAAGGTGGAAATTTGGTTTTGAAACAATCAGCTATAGATTTTTATAATTTGAATTCTGTGAGCTTTGATGCCATATTTGATGGGCCTGGGCCAGAGTTCAAAAAGACTAAAAAAGTGAGACAGGAGACAATTGCCAGCTTTCTGACGAAAAATAAACTCATTCCAAAAGAAACTACCGAAATTACAAAACCTAAATTATCGAAGTCTGAAATTATATCGATGTATAAGGAATGGTCGACTGTTAAAGACGATTTGCTTCTAGAAGATCAGAAGGTGCGTAGTTTTCGCGGCCGACGCCCATTGCTTTCCAGCGCAAGTACAACGCAGTAATTACATGTATATTTGATTTTATAGATTATACCAAAGGCAACGCCAATAACCTCTTTAATTCCTGAAAATTACTTGGGAGATGCTTTATGCATACTAGAATTTATGGCAGAGTTTTCAACAATTCTTGAAACTAGGAATTACTTTCCAGGAGGCATGTCTTTTAAAGAAATGGAAAGAGCATTACTTGAAAAGAAGGTTTGTAAAAGAATATTGAAATGAATCAGTATCATCACTTAATTATATATTTTAATATTCCAGCCTGGGAGTCCGTTAGTTGATATTTTACAGCTAATGATTAATTCCATATTTGTTATGCAAGAAAACGAGCATGCAAGGTACAGAACCACATACAAGAAGAAAGTCGATGGTAAAAGTTGTTAATATTATATCGGTATATAATTGATTAATTTGTTTATTTTTTTTGTAGGCATTTCTGCGATAAATATGGAAAATGAATTGTCTCTAACGGATTCATCTAAATTGGCGAACGTAGCTTACCGCTGGTGTTGGAGATATCACGGCGCGGCTTTAAGAGATTTTCCAGTTTTGAATTTGACGGTATCAGAAATCCTGCGATTGCATTTAATTATGTCGGGTGGAGTGGTGAGCGAAACTTGTTCCAGTTGGCGCAAAGCCAATCGCGGTGGTTTCCGATCAGAAGATGATCCGGCCATACACTTCCGTCTCCAGAATCCACACATTATTAAACATTTGTCATCGCAAAGTGTAGTCGAATTAACGATAGGCGACAAAATTAAACTTATAACGTGTCTGATGGATCAGTTGTTAACATACGAGGAATTTAGGACAGCAGCTGAGAATGTACGGGAACAGGTGCGGTCGTTGAAGATTGAAACGAAGAATCTCCAGATAGCTGAGAAGAAGCAAATCCTGGAGTCGACGGACAAAATCAACAAACTAAAGAAAGGCGGCTCTTTCAATCCTACGCTCGATAAGGAGATACAAGAATTGGAAACTGAGTTGGAAAATTTTAAAAGCGACACTGAATACAAGATAATTGACAACAATCAGAGTCTTATACGAAGTACCACTCACGTTGGATACGACCGCGGTTTTCGGAGGTATATAAAATTGAAGTCGTTGAAGGGTTTGTACGTGAACAGTGATGAGTTAAATGCTGGCACTTGCCTGCCGGAACCTACAAGACATGTTCCGCAGTTAGTGAATGCAGAGAAGGATGAGGTTATGAAGTATTTAAGTAAATCCAGTGAAGAAATGAATACGAGTGATAAAGAAAACGAGCCTTCGGTTAAAAAGGAAAACGGTTGCAGCGAAGCTAACGTTGAGAAGGGAAGTTCAACTGATGAATTACTGATGTGCTCCTCAGATCCCGCCACTTGCGTGATACATTCTAAGAAAGACGGTTCCTCTTGGTCGTTTTTCACGGAACGAGAGCAATTGGATGAATTGATAAACAGTATGAACGTGCGTGGAGTTCGCGAAAGTGATTTGAAGGAAGCTCTGTCTAATGGTCGAGAATTCCTCGCCAAGTACATTAAGACTACTCCCCTGAAATACTACGAAGACACAAAACCGATTGAAAGTACGAAGAAAAGTAAGTCGGTTAATAAAAATGAAGATAATTTTGGGTATCCTGACAATATGCCTATTAGGGACGTTATGTGCACTGAACTTGTTTTAACCATATTAGAATTTGAAGACAAATTATATTCTGGTGGTATCGGCGGTATAAATCATTCCATGCGAGCGGAATGGAGAGAGCTTCTGGAAAAAATGGATTTCGATAAAATGGATCTCACTGTACATAAGCATAGGGAGTATGATGATTTAGTTGCAAATGTATCAGACGATGATGAAGGCGAAGCCTCAGACCAAATACCGGAAGTAATCTATAAAGATCCAGCAGTATATCTGGGAAAGAACAAGGATAGCATTGAAATGAATGGCGTTGTTGAAGAGAAAGAGCTGCAAACTATTAAACATTTAGCAACTACTTTGATGCAAGTAGCTTACACTATATTTCCGGATAATCTCCGAAGACCAATGGGTATGTCGATTTTCTATTGATTTGTTCCGCATTAATCTATTTTATTTAAATTTATAGGTCGAGTTGTAACTAAATCTGCGAATAAGATGAATAATGTTTTTAAAAATTTAATTTTAAATTGGTCGACGTCTTTGCTTGCATCCACTAGTTTCAGTCAACTATATCTGCATTTCTATACGCTCGATGATTGCGTAATGTGGAATAAGACTGTGTCATGTCAAATTTGTCGGAAGGCAAAAAATTTAACCCAAATGCTGCTCTGCGACGATTGCAACAGTGGCTATCATTTGTATTGTCTCAAACCAAAATTATCGGTACGTCTTTCCTACACTCCATCATCAAATCGATTATTATTCTGATTTTTTTCTATGTAGGAAGTACCTGAAGGTGAATGGTTTTGCAAAAATTGTATTAAACAAAGGGAGGAGGAGGAAAGGAGAAACTCAGAAGCGGCTATAAGAAAGAAAGAGGCTTTAGAACGAAGGAAGAAGCGGGAAAGTGGTAAACTTGAAAAAGAAGCAGAGGAAGTAGAATTTGGTTTTGGATCTGATTCCAACGATGAAGAGTAATTAATGAATTATTTGTTTTTGTGAAATTTATTTACGTAAATTTAATTATTTCAGGGAACCTGTGAATTGCACTAAGTGCGGGGACTTTGAAGGGGATGAAATTTTGAAATGCGATGAATGTCCGAGGGCTTATCATCTTCTTTGCCTTGATCCTCCACTTAGAAGGATGCCAAGAGGGAAATGGGTCTGTAATGGTTGCAAGGAATTAGAAAGTTCTAAACGTAAGTTTTCTGTTTGAATGTTGTTGGAAATTCATTTTGAATATCGTTTTTTTGTTACAGGTTATAAGTCAGGTAATTTAGAATCAGGGTTATAATTGATTTACCGTTTTGTTTCTTTTTAAAATTTTATTTCTCATATATTATTTATTATAATTTGCAGAACATGTAGAAGGTATACGTCGTTCGAATAGGCATGAAGTGGAGAATCGTTCGGATTTGCCTTTGCACAATGTAGCTTTGCAAGAATTACTCGTGGATGTTATGAAACATAAAGATGCCTGGCCGTTTACGAGGCCCGTACAGAAAATCGAGGTACCTGATTACTACACTGTAATTTCGAAGCCAATGGACTTTGGTACGATAAAGTACAACCTGAATATGGGCAAATATAAGTATGATGCAGAGTTCATGGCGGACGCACAACTCGTTTTTGGTAATTGCAACGCTTACAATTCATCAGATGCGGAAGTGTACAAGTAAGTTCATACTTCATTCTATGGCGTTTCTCAACCTATGGGTCGCTGTCTCTTTTAAAACTTATTGTTTTAACAATTGGTAAAACTACAAATAAGTTGAGAAACGCTGCTCTACTGATTACAATTAAATATTAGTTACTAACTATACGATTTTGTAGATGCGGTGAGAGATTGTTGAAGTACTTCTCGAAAAAATGCAATGAGCTGAACTTGAGGAGACCTTCTGATATGAACATTAATGAAGAGCAGGACGAGGAACCGGTCAACAAGAAACGGCGGATGATGTAATCCGTTATTGATTTTTGTTTTCAATTTTTTTTCCATTTTGGTATCAATTTAGATGAAATTGCTATATTCTGTATATATAATTACTATAATTATCATGTAATGCTACATTTAATTACAGATAGTAGATTTTATTTTTGTAATTATTTATTTTTACTTTTTTTTATAATTAATATAAACAATTTTTTTTGTAGTTCTAATTTATATTGAGTATGAAGTAATAAATACTATTTACATATACAAACAATAATAATGATAGCTTAAATTATTTCAATATATTTATTTTTATATGCCTTGTTTCAAAGAAGGCAACGTTAATTTTAAACACTTAGACATTAGGGTGTATAGTTTTATATGCAAACTCTTTGTAAAGTTAACGAATAAACTTTGGAGACATCTATTAATTAATCATGATATTATAATGAAATAAAAGAATAGCGTTAGCTTATTGACAAATAATTTCTCTGACAATTGTATAGAACGAAAAAAAAATGTATTTCATACGATCGGCTTTGTTGAAAAGGTATTTTTACGTGGGTAGGAGAGTATACGCTACGAAATATTTGGATAATAGATTTCCGAATATTCGAACTACGAGTGTATCAGCTAGGAAGATTGCGGAGAATTTGCTGCAGGATATTCCAGAGATTGATGCGAGGAATTTGTTCAAAGCTGTTAAGAAATGGTTGATCCTGAACGATAGGCATGATGAAGTTGTTAAACCTAAAACAACTGAAACTGCTTTACCCGTGCCTTATTCAACTTCTTCGGATGGTGGTGAACAAAAGGGTGGATCTTTAAGACCGGTAAGAGGGGAGCCAGGAAAGGTGCATTTAGGTATGATTCCGGTGGAATGGGTTCAATACTTCTACGGCACCACCGGCGTTACCGGCTTCTACACGTTTTGTTTTACCTACGGAACCTACTTGATCAGCAAAGAGAAGCTGGTGATGGAGCATGAATACTATACAGCTCTAGCGACTGTGGTGTTCTGGGTACTTGCTGCGAAGTTCGTGGGACCGTCATTGGGTAAATCTCTCGATAAGGAAGTGGATAAATATGAAAGCGATATGAACCACAATCGAACCATGGAAGTAAAATTTGCCAATGAATCAATAGCTATGGAGGAAAAGAATCAGCTTAGTATGGAAGGACATTTGATGCTTATGGATGCGAAACGAGAGAATGTAGCCTTGCAATTAGAACTTGCGTTTCGTCAACGGCAAATGATGGTATACCGAGAAACGCTCAGGAGGCTCGAGTTTCAAGTAGTCAAACAGTATATCGAAAGACGCATTGCACATCACAATATTATGGAATGGGTCGTTAGGGAAGTTAAAAAGTCTATAACACCGGATTATGATAAGATCTACCAGAACGAATGCATTGATAATTTAACCAAATTAGCTGAGAAAAATAAGCGCTGATTTCGCATCCGAAGAAAACATATTTAAATTTCCCGCCGTTTAACAAATCCAGTATTTGTTCATCTTCAATAAACACTAAAACTAATTGTATTTAATTGTAATCAATGCTAATTCTAAATGTATTTAATTGTAATTAATTAATAAACTGAATACATGCAATTGACAATGAATTATTTTATGTTTCATTGAGATTTGTCAACATTGCTTAATAAAATGACTCATTGTCATTCAGTTTATCTGTCAAACTTCAGATGTTAATACAAACAAGAGCGAGAGTCATACAATTGTATTCATTTTAGTTTAAAATGTCGTTAAATCAAGGTAATATTGAAATTCTTACTGTTAAATACACTTATCTATCTATTTACTATATTATTTTGTTAAAATTATTTATTTATGTTTATTATTATAGATATTCGTCCTGAACTGTATGAAGAAGTTAAACTGTATCACAATGCAAGGGAGAGAGAAAAGTATGATAATATGGCTGATCTCTATGCTGTGATATACACTTTGCAGCAACTGGAGAAGGCCTACATTCGAGATTGTGTCATTCCTAAGGAATATACAGCAGCATGCAGCAAACTGTTAGTGCAGTACAAGGCAGCTTTCCGCCAAGTGAAGGGAGATGAATTCCAAACAATTGATGCATTCGTCAAAAAGTACAGGGTAATTGTATTAACTAATATTTATATATATTTTTTTACAAGATATATTATTTTTATAGTTGGATTGTCCAGCTGCTCTTGAACGAATCAAAGAGGATAGACCCATAACCATAAAGGATGATAAGGGGAATACCAGTAAATGCATTGCTGATATTGTTTCTGTAAGTATATTGCTGTGTTCTTAATTAAGTACTTAAAATGTATTTTCAGCTGTTTATTACTTTGATGGACAAATTACGTTTGGAAATAAGAGCCATGGATGATTTGCATCCAGAGTTAAGGGATTTAGTTGATACCATGAACCGCCTAAGTCTGTTGCCATCAGATTTTGAAGGAAAGCAGAAAGTCACAGATTGGTTGGCCACTTTAAACTCTATGCAAGCCTCAGATGAACTGTCCGAGGCTCAAGTGAGACAACTGCTGTTTGACTTGGAGAGTTCCTACAGTGCTTTTAATAAAGTTTTACACAATACGTCCTAAATTATATTTTTTTTAATTGCTTGGAGATTATTAGAGATATATTGCAAAGCTTATAATATATTATATATTAAGAATTAATGTTATAATAAATAAATTATATTTAAAGGTCCATTTTTATATTTACCTCATATTCTTACCATCTTTAAAATTTGTATATTTTTATAGGTTTTAAGTTGATTTTTCTATGTAAAAAATGGTGCGACTTTCATATTGTCAAATTGATGCGGTAAAAGTTTCGAAAATTAATAAACTATGTCAAATTTATTGCGTTTATTGAGACTCTTTGAGTTTGGATAAAAAGTAAATCAAATGCGTTCATACAGAGGCTTGGATATGGACGCGAGAGTGATGGCCCGGATTGCGCCAATACTGCAGCAGCCCATTTCCATTCTGTCTGTGGAAGCTCGTGATCCTGAAAGCATTCTAGATATGCCGCCAAAGAAGAGGAAAAAAAAGAACATCATCTTTGATTTACCGAATCTTAAAACGGACTGGAAAAATAAAATTGTACTTATAGATAAGGTATTCAAACATATACCAGGCGAAGAGGCGGATGTTATCGAGGATCTGGAAGCGCCCGAAATGGATCCGTACGTGTTGAATATGAGCAACGAGGATATATTTGGGAAATCGTTGTACGACCAGAAGGTTCTCGACGAGCACGAAATGAACTTTGTCAAATGGTTGAATAACTTGATCAAGCACAATGCAAACCCTAATATGGCTTTTGCAAAAGCAATCAAGGTTTTTCGAAGCAGCGAAATCATGCTGGTCCTTGCAAAGTGTGCGTTTCTTGTGGAAAGCAGAATGTTGGTGATCAGACCTGATCTTGATATCCATATAGATTTGGAGCTGCAACGCGATATTGAGAAACTGCTGAAATGCTATGAAATGACTTGGCTGAGTTTAGGTTTGAGAATATTGTTCAACAAAAGGAGTTCCAAATTGAACGGCAGGAATTTTAACAAGTTTCTAAGGAAAAATCTTTACTTCAACGCTTATCTTGCTGAAAAGTATCAAAACTTGCAGTCAGCTCAATACTCGAGGGATATTAAAAAGTTCATCTTGAAAAAGATCTTGACTTTAATATATTTCCTCGATAAAGCGAAGATCAAAGGGGTTCATCCGACTAATCTGTTCAACGACAACTCTCGTCTTAAAGAAAGCTCTAATGTACTCAAGAAGTTTATGAAATTTTACGTGTGGCCTGCGTACGGACTATCCTTGCTTAAAGCTGTGGACTATGACCTGGAATATGTGCAACACGATTACGACGAGTACGACTATACAGTAAGGAATATCCAATTAGATTTAAGAGATGGCGTACGGTTGGCCAAAATCACCGGCATCCTTCTCAACAAACATTTAATGGATGAAATAATGATCTACCCTCAATATCGTTCGCAGAGGATGCGAAATCTTACGTATGTCTTCGCCGTTCTGCAAGAAGCAGGTTTCTATCCGCCAGCTTACATCGCCGAGAAAGATATAAATTACGGAGCCAGGATTAAAACTCTTTCGTTACTATGGCACTTAGAGCATAAGTTTAGATCTCCAAGACTGGTTGTTGCGGCTACGGTTATACAGCATTGGTGGAGGCGTATGAGTGGACGTGATTTTAAACGGACAAAGAAACGATGGCAGTTGAAATTCGCATGGGGTTTATAGAAATGAAACGAATATTTCTGCAATTTTAAGTTTAATAAAAATAGAGAAACTTATAATAAAAAATATGTATCATTCACGTCTGTTCGCATTTCATTTCCTTAGTGCTACGATTAATATGCTATGTACTATTTAAGGATAATTAAATAAACGTTTAAGATACTGAGAAGTATTTGCTTTTATACTTAATAAGCTGATTAAAGAGAACAAACATATTTACAACAGGCTTGCCTGCTTATAACGTACAGGAGAAGTAGTTTATCCATGAAATACCTATGAAACATTTCAGTTATTTATACACAATTTATAAACTAATCCTCCATGTACGTATATAATTCAACACTTCCACAGCTCCTCAATTACAATAATCATTGATTGTTTGCGATTTGCAAGAGTTGTGAAAATGCGTAAATTCGTGCGCGTTCTGTTAACGCGCTTAAATTAACATATAAAAGTTATTCAAAAGATAATCGAAACATATCACTTGGAAATACTGCTGCTAAAATTGGCCGAATGCCAACTTCACTTAGTCACATACGGTGTAGTTTAAATACGTATTATTAAGCACAATCAGTCTGAAACTCTGGTTGGGATCTTCCGCTCAGTTAATGGATCCCTTGTGGTTCATGTAACCGTCGAAGTGTCCGGTGGATAACACTTTGTCGATGGCAGATCGCTTCAATCTCGTGCACGTCGCCAATAAAGCTCCTCCCAAAAGACACATCGCTCCGCCACCAAATGCCAACAGGGCAGAGAACCAACCGGCTTTCATGCAAACGTTGTTTGGATCTGCGACTAAAGCTAGAATTTATTTGGAACGTGTTAGATATTAGAAGAAATATTCGATTGAGATTTGTTTACTTTGCGAGGTGGCATTTCTATTTTCATCTGATTCTCCTTCCTGCAGGACTCGCAACGATTGGAACAAGTTTATATTCTCGGAAAGGGCTGGTGCTGCCGTCGTAGATGCTGTCAACTCACGACGACGTCTTGTATTCTTGATGTTACGCCAATGACAAGGTTGAGACTGCAAAGAAGTTTAAAACAATTGAAAAAAAAATCATGTGCTTGTCCTATGATTGCAAAGAGTTCATCAATTTTTGAAACTCGAACAAAAACTCAAAGCTTGAAATAAAAAATAGCTTTACGTGTATAATAAATGAATAAAGCCATAAAGCCTCGATTTATTATAAAAATATACGTCTTGCGGTGTGAAAAAATACGGTTTAATTGTGGTGTACTCACTGGACATCTGCCGTGACACATTCTAACGTCGCATTCGATGTAAAGCGTCGGAGATCCTGTAAACCTGAAGGTTTTCATGTATGCAAAAACCTGCGTTTCGTAGACTCCGCTCTCCGACCAAGATCCGCGAAACCGTGAAATTAGTTTGTCATCGACTGGACACCTGGAAAAAGGAAATAAACAGAAGCGTTGTAAATAGACCGAACAATATGTTCTTTATTTTTCTTGCTGCAACCAACCCGTATTCATCAATTAACTGGATCTTCTTGGTGGCGCCGTTGTGAGCATAACAATCGTTAACAACAATATCAAATCCATCTGAAAGGAAAAACAACAAATTTAGATTATTTTTGTAAACATTTTTTGTATTTAGTCATTACCATATTTGCTTCTCATATAGATAATAAGGGTCAAGGGGTCACCAACCCTGACAGCTCCTGTTACCCTATTTCCGGATGTACCATATCCATAGCGAATTTCCATGTAACATTCGGGTGGAGTTAAAGTGAAGACAACTGGATTACCAGTGGCTACCCTAAAATTATTAAACAAGGATTATTATTTGTTTAAAAACAAACTTTTTTTTATAAACTTACTCAACGTCTAAGAAAGGAAACGTGACGGTTTTCCAGAAATCGTATCCGTATTCGCAAGTAACTTTAAAATGCTCATCATATTCCTCTTCGATCAATGGATTATATTGAACGGTGACCGTATTCCACATGAAGTTTTTCTAGTAAAATTATTAATTATTTAATTACCATTTCTTTGATAAGAAGTAATCAGTTTTAAAAGTTAAGAAAATAAAAAGTGATCGCCCGAGCAGGGACTTGAACCCTGGACCCTTGGATTAAAAGTCCAATGCTCTACCGACTGAGCTACCCGGGCTTCATATAGTTTATAGCATATGTGCGACTTACCGTGGGCGACTTCCTGTTATCTTCGTTGTGCGTGTTCTTCCCTAATGTTCCGCATCTGTTTAACTGGATGTAGAATTCGTAATAATCTCTTCCGGTTCCGTTAATATACATACAATCGGGATCGTACGCATATCCTGAAACATAAGGGCATTAGGCAATGCGGTTTACCTCATCTTGGGTATCGTAACACTCGCGATTCATTCGATCTTTTTCTTTTTTATCTTCTTCTTCTCTTTTCTCCTCCGTTGTTTCATCCGTGATTCAACATCGGGTCTTACAAGGATTTTGCGACACACACACTGTTCAACAATTGGTGCTGTGCATACCATTTGAATGTGTAATAAACGGAAGGAAGTACACGTTTCGCTTCGTTTTTCGGTATTTCGATTTCTATTTTGTTTGTTTTCCATTATAATCGAATATACTAATCTACTTCGATTTCAAAAAAGTTTAAAAATATACTAGAGTACTTTATTTAATACAGAAATATATGAAATTGAGAAACATGGAACTATTTTACTTTGTTTTCTAAACAGAGATAAATTGTTATACTGTAGCTCAGCGTTTCTCAACCTTTTTGTCGCGCATATTTGTTTGTAATTATACTGCGACGCAAAAGCTAAGAGTATTTCACCAGATCCTTCTTTGACAGAAGGTGACAATGAAAGCTGTCATCTTGTGTCTCATATAGGAATTTAACGTGTGTCAATTTTATAGGTTGTGAAACGCTGCTTTACCTCTATTAGTTATAGTTTAATCATTTTTGGTGCAAAACGTGACAAATAATTTGAAATCATCAACAATTTTACCAACAGAAGAGGTAAACTTATTTTTTATAACATATACGTAAACGATTGTATTTAGATTACACATATCAAGAAAATAGTAGTTCCTAGAAATGATCTATATTATCATTAAATTGAAATTTTGGTTAACTTATAATCTATTGATTATAGCATCGATATTTCTTATATAGATTTAATACTTCCAAATAAAACCACCAAATCGAAATTTTCTTCAAATTTCATCATTCAATTTCTAATACATAATATATAACATTAAATTTTTATTCATTCACTGATAATTCTTGTAAATTATAATGATTTACAAGAAACGCACAACTAATCAACGGTCAATTTTGAGTAATATGTCTTAAATAATTTTGCTATTTGAAAATCTTAAATTTTTTATAGTAAAATTAGTGAATGTATATAATTATATTTTGGAAGCAATGAGTGTGTCGTATTTGCAGTGCTCATAGAATTATTAAAGTAATTTCAGTTTGTCGACCTGTTCCTTCCGGCTCATCATTTTTAAGCATAATTTTCACCGCTTCAGTTTCGTCTAACAGTATAGAGTTGAGGACCAGACGGACCTTAAAAAAAAACCTCTTGACACATGACAGAGCTGAAGAGACCGAAACGCAGTAGGACCATTTAGAAGCGTACGCTCGTTCCACAATAATGGAAACAATTTAAGGCTATTACTTGCCAAAACTGTTATATTAACACGCACGGTTTTAGTTGTAATTCGTGTAATGATAGTAATTTAAAAGATTATATTTCAATTGTATATGAAATTTTACCTGCGGAATAGACGAGTCCAGTGAACGTTCCGTTGAAGCCCACCCTGATTTTCATATAATCATCTTGACATTCAGCTTCAATATCTGTAAATAAATTTAACAAATCGATTGTAACACTAATATTGTAAATTGACAATACCTCGCATAGTGTGTTCAGCCAATATTCCGTACTGTTTGAAACCGCAATAATCGAGGAAGTAAATAAGTACAAAAAAGGGACAATTTTTTTTTGAGATTTAGTTTGTTTTGAAATTTTCAAACCGGACTATAGTGAATCGAAGCCGTATTATGCGAGGAATTGCTGTAGTCAAGTTATGCGCCATGAAAGAATGAATATTATATGTGTGTATAATTAAATAAATATATGTGTATCATTGATGAATGCGTGTACGTTGCTGAAAGTACTTCCTGTGATGTAAGGTTGTGGGTGTTACGGTCAGGTGCGCTGGAAAGTGACCGGAGATGGTGTGATAAGTAAAGTCTGACCCACTTTGCACAAAAAGAAATAAATAAAAAAGATATTAAATGCAATTAAGTCGAAGTCTGCATTCGGGGTCGACCTTAGAAAGGGAAAGCGGATAGGAAGATTTAGTGGTAGTGTTTTGATAGATACTCACGCTGGACGCGCGTCGTGTTGAATCTGAATCTTCTGTACTCCCTGTCCCAGGTGTCCACATTTGGCAACCTCCAATCTTCGTCCACGTTTGGTGCTCTAGTGCGAAGAGATGGCACCGGGACGTATCCAGCGTTATCACCAATGAAAACCACCTTAAATTCATAATTATCTAATTAATTACGAGATAATTAACAAGTAAAAACAATAAACATTCGTTTAAAAACAGTTTCCAAATAAGACACGAATCATTGTAAAGAATATTATGAAAAATAACTTTTATCTTGTAACAATCTTGTATCTATAGTTAAATTTACATGGCACACTTTGATCCTCTCATAACACACTGGTTAAAAGTAACTGCAATTAATGTTGAACTTGAGAAGCTCAAAAAAGTAGATTTTGAGGAACGTTTTGAAATAAATGGAAATTATATAAAGTGTAATTGTGTAATTATATAGAGTGTAAACGATGAAAATTTAAAATATTAAAATAAAATTGATTTGATTTTGTTTCTTCCAGCCAACTTAGCGAAGTTTTGTGAGACTTCTCATAATATTTATATCATAAAACTGAAAGTATGAAATAATTCGTTATTATCTACTTCACCTAGTTATTACATATAACAAAGGACAGAGGAAAGAAACACAAGTACACATAAAATGACCCGTTCATCAAATATTTAAGCTGATATCTGCTTAAAGCATTATAAATGAACATTATAATTAAATATTGTAACTTAATTTAAATGTCTATACCAATAATATAAATAAAATATTTTTATATTAAAAATTGAAAAAATCCATTCTTTGTAATGACTTTAATGTATCTTAATGGTTGAAATAAGTGGGTAAAATTTGTAAAAACGAATAATTTGTTCTATTTTTGAAATATTTAATGAACGGGTCATTTGGACCCATATGTAGTACTTGTGTATTTAATCCTTTGTCTGTAGTAGTTACGGGTTAAATAGTTGAACGTATTTACACTATTTAGAAAATTGTTTATTGTTTATCAAATAAATAATGACTTACAAAGATAACTTTAAAAAAGATCAAATTATAATGAATGTTAATACATATTTTTTGCATATTATAACAACATAATTTATTGATAACTTTTCGAATTGCAAATAATATTTAAGTACATAAGAAAAGACTTATACTATAATTGTTTTTTTTAAATTTATAATGATTTCATAAAAATGTGTATGTAACAGTTATAATATAAATATTTCAATTGGGGTATAAGTTAACATTTTGTTAAGTGAAAAATGATATTTGATCATAACTTTGGGTTTTTTTTAGAAAGATTACGATGAAATTGGTTAATTAAAAATTAATAAAAAAAAAGTTGTTTCACATGTTGATGAGTATGTAAGAACATGTAAGTATTCCTAAAGAGGAAACATAGGTAAGAACAAATGTTATTTATATACAAAAGTAGCAACGTGCAATTGATCAATCGATGCGGTTCAGACAACCGATAATCCATTAATCCTTGAATCTCTTATTGTTTTTTTGTGTGTGTATGTGGAAGCACCATAATTGCATAACAGAATTATTCAATGAAATAATAATAAAAAAAAAACAACAAATTGTAACATCCGCTGTGCGGTGTTTACGCCTTCTGCGTTAAAGTCTAACGGTCATCATCATACAGTCACCATGAAAACTGAATCCACCTTTCTTCTCTTTCTCTTCATTGAATATTCGAATACTAAAAATAAAAAGTAACACACAAACAAACAAAAAATATCGCACCCAGTTTAAATTGCGGAACGCAGTAATCGCGTTTTAATACGCGTTTTGCAACTGACATTTCTTTTTCGTAACACTGAAAAGGAGGATTTCCATAATGTAAGTAAGGCTGGTGCAATTAAAAGTAATAATAACCCGAGAAATTCTATAAGCGTTTGCACACTGTTATTTCCAAATAACAACTTAATCGAAATAATTATATAATTGCTCGAAACGTCTGCATTTACATTCGTACTTTCAAATTGGAAGGAAAAAATAAAAATAAATTAATGAACGGAATCAAGTTTGGTTAAAATTGTTATATTTTTTTTGATTATATTTCAATATGTTTTTATTATTAGTAAAGGGTGTACAAACATTAACAATATTTGAATTTGCCGTCATTTGTGCAGTAAAGTGTTGGCAACCCCAAAAAAAAAACTATTTGACAGCTGAGAGGTTAGTAAAAATCTTGCGTTAATTTTGGAACACCCTTTAGTTATCTAAGTGGACTTAAATACTTAATAATTTTGAGTATTAACAAAAAATCAACTTACGAATTTAACGACTTACGTCCAAAGTTGCGTCATTATCAACAAGAATTTCAATTAAAACTAAAACCATTGAAAAACTATGAAATAGTTTCCTAACTTCAGAAATCATTACTTCAAAGCTTTACAACTAAGAACATTTATGACAATGTAAAATAAAAAAAACTATATAAGTGTCTTTTTAATTAGAATATTACTTCTTTTCTTATTTTTGTATATAATAATTATCATAGTTGTACATCATGTTGGTTTCATAGCATACTTTCGGAAGATGTCGAAAACTTTTTCTCCTCTTTGTCTCATGCAAAACAATAAATTATCGAAGACAGGTGAGTTTCCGTTGTACAAAGTAATTAGAGATTAATTTCCAGGTGTCGGCGATTTGAAATTGTGAATGTAATCCTTCACGCAGGAATACAATTATGAAATTATGAAACGAGTGAATGGGATTCCGGGAATTTTTTTTACGCAATGTTTACGACCGAGTGGTCCATCATCATCATCATAATGATGATCGTATCCAAAAATTATGCATATTCAGGAGCACCGACGGATTTCACTTTTTCGGCGTGATGCTGAATCTTCTCAGACGAGTGATCTTAAAGACAATTCTCCTTCTTGCTCAAGTCTCGTCCAGCATTTATATGCATATAAGTCTCGGTCTGTTTCGGTGATACCACATACACTATTGACACAGAAAATAAAACGAGAATAAACTATTTCGTTTTTACTTAAGTCTGTTCTCAATTTACTTTCAGAATTAAATAACAATGTCAATGGGTATACAACATTTTTCCCCAACATTTTGACATTTTGCTACAGTGACAGCTGTCATTTTGCTACCAAATTATTATCCATTAGATACAGTGACTAGGGCCCACAAACATTTTTAGGACCTATGACAATTTTTGGGGCCCACGAAAAAAAATATTGGGTTTAGGATTCAAGAATAAATACATTTTTGAACTTTTGCGAAGTGACAGCTGTCATTTTGCTACCAAATATTGGACCACGACCTTCGGCGTTCTTGTCCATTAGATACAGAATTTAAGGCCCACGAAAATTTTTGGGGCCCACAAAAACAATATTGGATTTAGGATTCAAGAATACATGTTTAGTTGTTAGGTAAGAAGATGTTGAGTAGCAAGTCTGGCCCACGAGAAGCCTAATACGGACACATCTATACTTTGAGAAACCCTGCTCTACAATTACATAAGAAACATAAAATATGTTGAGGTAAAACAATTTTCAAATACTAAACTATAAATTGTATTAAGGCTTATGGGTGATTCTGTTATGCAATCAAGGGCGAATGACCTTAAGTCTTCCTATTCTGCGTTAGATTAATTATTATGATGATAAATGGATGCTACTCAATGTCAGAAATAAATTAGTATTCCTAGCATGCAATTTCCAATTCATTGTCTTCGTTTCATTAACAATCGAAACATTTATCATATTATATAAATTTGTTCTGTGCTAATTAAGATATAATAACATTTTGCTACAACAATCACAGTTTTTTATGAGTAAAAATTTGAAACTTTTCAATTTTATTTTGTATGAAAAATTTATGTGAAAAACTAAAAAATATCTTATTATAAATTTAATAAAAAGTTATGATAAAATTTTATAATAGATTTATAGTTTTTGATTCATTCTTAAATAATTAGTGATAATTAATTAGAAACTTCTATCACAAAATAAAGCAGATTTGATCTACCTTTTAATTTTAATTATATTTAATTCTTATAAGTTATATTAACTTTATAATTAATTAACAAATTTAATTTAATAATTAAATATGAATGTTAAGTGTAGATTACATTAAGAAATTAAGAGAATTACATTATTTTATTTTATGTGAAAATCTTTAAAACGTATAAAATTTTATAAATAAGTATCTTGTAAATTAATATTTAAGTCTTTAATGTAATAAAGATGAAAAATTTAATGATTATAACAAATTGATGAAATATATTCAGTTGATTTGATGCAAATTATTCGCTCTTTTGTGTTATTTAACATTTCTTTATACTTATAAGTATTTGTATTGTGTCAGACCGTTAGGTAGAAGAATGTGAACGGATTTGTATAGAATGTACACAAATAATTGCATTCTGTATGTATATATATGAAAAAAACAAAGTGAATATTGAATGGCATCAGTTATTGTTACATAAAGCTGTTCTGGTAAACCGTAATAATTATAAATAGCAGGAAGAACAAAAATCTGATTGATGTTTTATCAAAACTCGATAATACCAAGGCTCAGTTCGGTATTCTTCGCGTGACAGGTTAATTGTTTGCCCGGGCTTATTATTATATAATAATTGATACGTGATATTTACCGATTCATGCTCGCTGGCATCGTGCGATAGGGCCTCCCTCGTATGATTACTAATTAAGTCGGACGTGTGAATAGGATTAATTGATTTCTCAACGCTTGTGCTGCTGCTGACGCTGTAATGAACTTCGGTGCTCGTCTCGTCCTCATCCTGAGCACTCGTCAACTGAAACAAATAGTTTTCTAGTTAGAATTACGTAATTCCAACATACAGGTGAAACGAAGTACTCACGTTTGTTATTGTTAGCAATATCAGGAAAACAACGACTCGCCACCTGTAAATTAACAATAAAATCAATCAATATTAGTTTTTTTCGGTAAAAAAAGTGGAAAATCTGGTTGGTATATTTGTAAAATTTAAAAAACCTTTATTAAATTAAAAAATAAACAACAAATAATTATAGTACTCAAATAATTATTCAAAAAATATATTTATTAATAGTAAATCAGTAACATTTTTACTTGAAATTGCTCAGAAGAACCAAAAAATATTTCAATTTTTAAGACGAATTTTTAATATTCTAGGCCAGGGGTAAGCGAATCTGGGTAAATTACCCTTTCATGACTAGTGGTTATCAGTGCTAACCATTATTTACTATGCTCTTGCAGTTCTTTGTTGTAAACTGTACTGTTCATTGTGTTTCTTCTAGTTAGCAATGCTAACCATATCCTGTAGTACTTTTTTGTAATTTGTTGTTATTTATATTAATACACATATATATAATGATTTTTGTTTATTTAAAATTTAAAAAAATAATGTTCAAACATAAGGGTTAATAGGACAAAAGTGATTTGGGAACAATGAGGAGTTTCAGCAAATAAAATTCTATGTTCCTCATGCATGATGTACCATGAAAAATATTGAATTCACGAAAAATATATTTTGAGGTAATTGGTAAAAATGTTAAGGCGACTTAATATAATTTCTATAGAAATGTTAATATTTTGAATTTGTTCAAGACAAAGGTTTTGCAGAAATGTCAAATACGAAGACAATGAGACCTGCATTTTTAATATTGCAGGTATAAATATCAACTTTATAGACAATAAATGTCGATTTTTAGTATAATAATAGGTTTTTATCATTTATGATTTTACCAAGTTTTATATATCAGGCAATTTTGAAACAATAATAAGTAATAGTTTAGTGGACATTTTATGTGTTTTGAAATCTTATTATTGAAATACTAAATTATGTTTTTTATTGATTACATGTTTTATATTATTCATTTAGTTTATTTAACTTTATGTAGTCCTATAAATATTAAATAAAGTGAGAATTTGTTCGGATTTGTCCGGATTTTTTGATATTTTATGCTTTTTTTTATATATTTTATACCAAATAAATAAAAAGTTTGTTTCATTATTTAACATTTTTATTGTTCTATAAATATTTAAAAATAAATTATATAAACTTTAGTTATTTTGTTATTTAATTGGATTTAATTTTGATCTATAAATCTCATATTTGTCTGTATTTTAACCGGTTTTTAGAAATATCTAGAATCGAAAAACCGTTGTTTTCTATTTTGAAGTAGGTTTTTTTTTGTAAACCCATGGCTACATAAATTTAGTTTTAAAGAAAAGAGGTGAATTTTCGAGATTGCTATTATTTCTAATTATGCCGTTAAATATATATGGTGTATCTCTTAAACCTAGTGCCGGTGTTATAAGATCAGGAGGACGGAACCGGATCCCGTTAGCTGTCGCACATCGCTGCTTATCATAGCAGCAGCTCCGTACTCTTCTTCGACACCTCCATAAATACCAAAAACTATAGGAATCTTTATGATGAATGCCACTTGTCGACATTCTCACCTTAATCTTCAACACATTAATTAACTTATGCGTTATTCAATTTTATGCACTTTGCATTATTTATATATATGATGAGGCATTGTTACGAAACGAGTGAGAACCGAATTCTCTTATAATTGTTACTTTCATCTTATAAAAGAAAACCGTTAGGAATATCTCATTGCTATATCATAAAGAAATTTTAAGAGATTTTTACTTTACTACATCATTTTTTCTTTGGTGGAATAATATAAAAATTTGTAAATAAATACAAACTTTATATAATTGAAATTATTTCATTTTTTTTTTGTTTTATGATGAATTATGTTGTATAAAATATACCAAATAATAAGTATTATTGATAGAAATAACAAAATTAAAAATAATCTATATACTGATAGAAAAATCTCTTGTTGTAATTATTTCATTATTTTCAACTAGTAAATAATCTAATAATAATATATTAAATAGTTTTGATTTAGAGTTGTAATATTTTTTTACATTATAATTTCTGAATCTTTCTTTATTTTTGTTTACATTTTTGTATAATTGTAATTATAATTTTTAAATTTAATTATAAAATTTATAAAATATTATTTTTTTAAATATTATTATATAATGTTCATTGGAAGTCAGTGATGATGTGAGCGGAAAAAGGCTGCATGACACGGTAAAAAGCGCATTGAGATTGTCGAATTTAGCTTGTTTTTTTCTCATGCAGTCTTCATGCGACACGATTACTTTCCTATTTGTCTGTTAAATTGGGTTGTTATATAGTTTACATCGGAAGTTATTAAAAGCGCATCTTTCTTGCACGTTCGTTAATACGACCATTAAAGTACATTTTTATATTACAAAATATATATAATAAATGATAGTGATTATTTGTGAACGTTTATACTGTAAAGTATAAAGTTAATTTTATATTTTTTTAACAAGATTGCAAAAATTAGTACAAAAAAAGTGAGTTGTCCCAACTGTAGAATTTGTAACGAAATAATTATAATAATGAAATACAAAGTACCAAACCAAATATTTTTTAATTAATTAAGATATTAAAAAGTGTTTATAAAATATCTGATATATAAAATTTTGATAGATTGTAACCATTATTGATGAATGTTTATTATGTAAACTTGAAAATGTTTTTTAAAAACGGATAAAAGAATTGTTGTATCCAACTATTATTGTTATAATTGTTATATTTAATATAGTGTATTAACGAACGGCATCTCTTACTCGCAATAATTATATAAACATATACATCAGCATAAAGGAATCTCTACCGTGATCCCATACACTTTAATATAAACAAAGGGGACCAAGCGTAAACATTCCCATCGATACTCCTATACCTTTAGTCCGAATTCAAGTTATAAACACATAATAATCATTACACGTAAAATCGTAATCAATCATCTTTTTCATATAAACAAATGCATAGGATTTTGTCCCGGTCTAAAAGTAAACAAAACTTCCCGAATGGGAACGCTTAATCATCAATATATACAAACTCTACTCCCAATCTCAACTCCCACTCCGTATTAATAAGAATTAACTTTGTAAGTAGAATAAGAATTTAGAATTAGTATCAGTAAAACGTTAATATGATGAGAATTGTCTCAGTAAAACCTTGATAAGATGAACATCATTAAAACCTTTAAAGACTAATAAAGTCTCAGTAAAACCTAAGACGAGCATACTCTCAGCAGAAGACCAAGTAACGAATAAAGTTCTGTAAAACAAATTTCATTAAATTCCTAACTATTGAGACTCTACAACGACAATTCTACAGTGTCCAGAATTCCATCCCTGGGACAGTCCAGAATGACCGAAAAAGACGTTCCATGCGAGGGGTTAAATTTCGAGGTCTCAAATAAAGGATGTTGGATATTAAAAAAGGGCACAATAGAACATCAGGTATTGAAAGAAACCTGGTTGAGAGAACTTTGCAATTTATACTGTATGTAAGAAAATAAAGTCGTTACATAATTGTGTTTTAATGAAATTCAAACATTGGATTACTTTTATCGATTTTATACTTTGCAAATTACAAAATCTCAAATAATTGATAAATTTAGTTTGCATTCAAACTTATTTAGTACATAAGAATTGTTTAAATCTATTGAAGAATAATAGAGTCGTTACATAATTGTGTTTCAATAAACTTAAAACATTTGACAATTGTCTTGTGTACATTTTTATTTATTGCTAATTACAAATTTGATAAATAATTTAAGCTTTAAATAATTGATAAATTAAATTTGCATTGAAATAAACTTATTTTGTGTATAATAATAATTGTTTAATGTTCTGAAATTATTCTGTCCGTTGATCTTAATAATACCCCTGCGCAGGTTCATCAGCCTCTTTAGCTCAGTGGTAGAGCACTGGTCTCGTAAACCAGGGGTCGTGAGTTCAAACCTCACAGGAGGCAGGCCATTCATTTTTATTGCTCCAATTGATCAATATCCAATTGAATCACGCGATACCGACTTTATCATTACGACCACGTTCAATCACATTTTTAAGGAACGATTTTACGTTTTACCTGGATAAAATTACACAATTTAAAGTGTTCCAATTAGTTACTGTTACGTTTTCATTATTATCCTCGACTCGTTTTTTCATTGTCCTGTAGTATTTAAATACTGTTTTGTCTCTTACTAATTAATATAATTCCATTGTAGAAGTGTTTTTTTTAATATGAGTTAAATAATTTTAATATATTTAAAAAAATATACTTATTGTTATTTAGTGCAATTTTCATATTGTTAACATTAAATTACTTGTTATTATTTCACAATTTGCATTATATTCTTACATAATAAAATATTAAGTTAAATTTATATATAATTATGCATGTATTTTTTTCAGCAATTAAAGTTAATATTATATAATAACACAATAACTTTTATTATTATTCATTTTCTCTATAATTATCATTTTTAACTGTTTCATAATTTGCTATTTTTAAGTTACAAAGTACTAAAATTTCTTTCATTCAAAGTATTTTACATTTCCTTCATTTCTCATTAAATTTTATAAATTCATTCCATTAAAATTTCATATAATAAAGTTATAAAATGTGTAAGATAAGAAAGAATATTACATAACAAAATGTCATTGAAAGTCATGAATCATATGAATAGTTTTGTTTCATTCATTATATTTACCATTATTTTTATCTATGTTATTGTTTATTAATGAAATTCACTATTAAAAAAAGTTATGCAATGTATAAAATAAAGAATATTAGATAACAAATGTGATTGAAAGTAGAAACAACAAAAAAAAATGTTAAGCTACAAATTCGCTTGCCTCCTGTGAGGATTGAACTCACGACCCCTGGTTTACAAGACCAGTGCTCTGCCACTGAGCTAAAGAGGCTTATATAAAATTTTTAAATGTTTTCTCAATAGTAAACACAACGGATGTAAGTAAGCATGTAACTAATGTAGATAACAAATTCTATTGATTAGCGACGAATAGCAATATAGTAATTATTTATTGAAAAACACATTTTTTTAAATCATAATTAGAATTTAACTGCGTAGTTTAAACGTTTGGTTGTAATGTAACCAATTCGAATATATCGAACAAAATTCGTTTATCAGAATACAAATTTGTATTTCAATTATTATGTTAATTTTTATATTTATGGAATGAATTAGTGATGATTACCAAAACAATATGTAAGTAAATAATTAGTTTAATGTAAAGATTATTAACAACAAAATTTAACTGTAATAATTAGGAAAATATATTTATTAATGTTTTTTATGTCTTTTATTCAATAATTATATTAATAGAAATGATTTATCTTTTAATATTGATTGTTATTCTTCTATTCTATACATATAACATAAGATGGTATATTTTCAAAAGTATCAAAAATTTATGTAATTTTATAATTGTTACAATATAAATTGTAATTATGGTTATTAGCTTTAAAATATATTGAATTAATATTTAAATTTTGCCGTAACCACTTAAGTGATTATGTCGTATATATTCGTCATGCTCTCTTGTATTGATGATCGCTTATGACGAATATATTCGTTATAAACATAAATTAATATGCTAGCTATAAAATCACTATATAATACATTGCATCAAACTGTTTAAGGGTTGTTAATATTGAGTTGGAGATATAAATAGTTTAATTGTTGATTCTAAAGCAGATTTTAATTCGTATTATATAGTAATAGAATTCCGCTCATTACGATTCTACTAAAACGTAAAAATAGAGCAGGCGAAGATTATTTATAGTGCATATGAAAAGTTCCCTCGTTCATAAAGTGAATTGAAAGTATGATTCGATTCGGAATTCAATCAATCTCGAATTACTTTAGCGATTTATTAATGGTGCGGAGATGCGATAGAAAATAGCAGAACGTCAATCTTGATGTCGGATCCGATTGTTGTCTAAACCGGAAACCGCTTCGAAAAAATCGCGGTGCATTTGAAAATTTGTAACGAAACGATGAGAGCAGTTCAAGCGAACAAATATTTAAAGAAATAATACAAAACAATATCTGCATCACTTTCTTTTCCGAAACGAATTAAAAAATCAGTAAGTGCAATGATAGAAAGCTGATTTTTTTTCTTTACCTCATGCTCGATGCACTATCCATCGTTGTTTCTTAATTAAGAAGGTGTAAATCGCACATAAAATTTCTAAACTTCGATGTTTTTTTTTTGGTGTAATTTTTGCTAGTTTTTCGTCTTCTTCGAAGTTGTACACTCGTTTCACAATTGTTCTCGGATACCACAGGACGAGCCGACCGCTTTATTTCATTTTCGCGTGTACGATTTTTCGTGTTTATGGAACGGTTTGTTGTGTGGTAATAGTGAATAGTGCAAGCGTTCTAGACTAGATATAGTCCCCCACTTGGAGGTGGTGCGTTCTGCAAGAAGTGGAGGAATTTTGGTACTCCTCTTCTTTGTGGCGTCTTCGCTTATTTACTTTGTGTGGCATTGAGGCTACAACATTGCTGATCATCTCTAAGAACAACTGCGAAGATTCCTTTCTTTAAACCATTTTTTTTAAATAAACTTGTAAAAGATATATTTATCATTCATTTCCTCTCATTATTCATACATATCGCAGGAAATAGTAGTTTTTAATAGCATATTTTAATATAATTATTATAGAACTGAGTATCCAATAGTCAAATGTTTCTTGAAATCGTAATCAGAAAATACTGTAGGTCTTTCCGTCAAAATTAAAATAAATTGTTAAAAGAAATAAAACTTAATTTATTTAAAGTAAAAGTAATAAAACTATATTTATGATTGAAGAAAAAAAACATTGTTTGCTAATAAACAAGTTGAATAATTTTAAACTGTCAATTAAAATTGATAATTTTATATTTAAACTATAAACTATATTTAATAAATAGGTTGTAAATACATCTAAATTAATATAAACATCTTCTATTTCTTCATGTAATACTTAGGTCTTTGTTGCATTTTATAACAGTTAGATTTACCCCCAGTACTTTAATATTCATAGCCTATGTAATATAGAGTCTGCTAATGTTTTTTTTTTCTCTTACTTATATCTTCTGAATTTGCATTTTGGACATTATTCATTTTTGTTCAAGAATGCTGTAGTTATTATGTTATTTAACTAAACTTAACATTATCTAATCTTATTTTCTTGTTTATACCTAGTAATCTGATCTATCTGGTGTTTCTGAATATGTGATACATATCAAAGTGAAGCACAATCTGAATTGTGGAGATATAACAAAATACCGAACCTGGAGAGGTTTTAGTTGATAGAAATCCCATAGAACCACGACTACATGCCATGTTTCCTCTCCTCTACAAATTTTATACACAATCAAGTGTGTTGTCCAGTGAAATTTTTAGAGGTTGAAATAATGGTTTATATAGTATATGACCAGCTTCTTATGTTTGTATCATCAATTTATATCTTATTTCTAAGACGTCTGTTTACGGCGATTCATAAAAACACCGCTGCAACAAAATGATTTGCTTATGTAGAACCTACTTCACTCTAATTATGGGTTCATTTTACGCCGCTTCGATTTGCGCCGGCTTTTGTAGAAACGAAACAACGGCGTAAACTGAGGGTTACCTGTAATTTGGTTATCATCAACATATCATAAAGCACGCTGAAGTCATTCTAACATTTAACTTAATATAATCTAAACTTTCTAATCTAATTTATTTTTTCTGATATTATTACATTACATTATTACAACTAGATTTTTACCTCCAATTTGATTGGTCCAATTTAAAAAACTTTGATAAAAAATTGAAAATAGTTCACCTAACTCTAATATTAAATTAATTCTATTTTAGCTAAATCAGTATATTTTTGATAATATTTTTTGTTGTTTAATTTCTTGCAAAAAATATTTCAAATATAAATATTGTGTTAACTATGAATAAAGTGCATTTGCGTTTTACTATGCATACTGATTTGTATGTGTATAATGATTTTGCACTTTCACACATATTATGCAATTAAAACAAAAAGGTAGTTTTGAAAACACAATGGTTAAAAAAGATTTGCTCTGCAGATTTGACTTGATTGTTCTTGTAGTTGTAAATGTTATAGATGACTATTACGTAAATTATTTACATACATTTTCCAATTAATCATCAAATTATAACTATATAAGACTTTGGCCGATAGCCTTATGACAAATAATGTTTAAACTAGAAAACATAACATTGAGTTACATACAGCTAAGTTATATAACGTGCGAATGGTATTACCAATGAATTTCAATGAAACATAATGAATGCTTATTAAATTAATTAAAACAAAGTGTTAATGGTAAGTGACCTAGACCCGATTGAAAAAAAAAACATAATAAAAGAAGTATTTTTTTAATAGCAAAATTATTGATGTATTAAAAATATGGTACATCTGGTAATTAAAAATGGCAGCTAATAAGACGTTTCCTAATTCCTGTAATAATGAATGACATTGAAGCCTTGCAAATATAACTAAAAAAAACAACAATTGTTATAGATATGTCTTACGATTTATTTAAAGGTCAATAGTTGATTTGCAAGTACGTTTATTTACATCTTCCGTTGCGAAAAGCTCTGCGATGTTATTGATAGATTTGCATTCCTAAAAATATATGTGGTATGCGTAATCTTCTGCACTTGAATGTGTATTATTTAAAAATCTTAGGAGGAGAAGGTGCAATGTGCCAGAAGACCGGCATATGGTTTCTTTGCTATTCATGTGAAGTATACGAATCTCAACTGCAAAAGCGTTTTCATTAAATCAATACACATGAGTGTATCTATTGCACACGGCGTTTCCAGTATATTAATTTTACATTTTCTAAACAATTTAAAAAATCTAAATATTGTTTATCTTGAAGAACATGTTTAATATTTTATTAATTTTAAGTGATAAGAAATAAGGTTACATATTTATAATAATTGCTTTATTTTGGACCTCACTCAGTCGCCGAAATTGGTTCTGTCAAATATGGAAGAAAAAAGAACAAATAGACCAGTGATTCTCAACTTTTTTTTCGTCGCGGTACACTTTTAACGATTTCAAAATTTGACGGCACACAAAGATAAAGATAAGTTTAAAAGTTGTTCACTTACCTATAAAAAACTGTTCAATATAATGTTTACTATATACTTAAAGTGCCGCGGCACAGTGGTTGAGAATCACTGAAATAGATAGTTGAAAAAACAATTGGTTAAGATAAATTTAAGCTAAAGTCAAAATAATAATCAATAAAGTAAAAATTGACTTTTCTAAGTCAACTCGAAAATTAATTTCTTTAGCACAAATTATAATCGTATCAGTGAGCCAAAACTCCTTTTTGAACAATAAATATCATAAAAATTGCTCTTTGATCCAAGAAGATGCCTACCACTGAACAAATCTAATTTAATTGTCAGAATGACTAGAAAACACTTGCGGAAAAGTGGATGATGTCTAAATTACCATATTCAGAATATATACAAGGGTGATACAAATATTAGAAGCTGTTGCTATGTTAGATAGATAACAAATAAGTGCATTTTTTCATTAAAGAAAGAATCATATAAGGGAAGTGATGTATTTATTTCCTGTACTATGTAGAAATAATTTTTCAAAAGTTTTTCTTATGAAAGAAAATCTGAGAATATCTCGAGTTTCGAAACCAACTGGCAATTGCTATTGGTATTGTTTACATTGATAGCTAAATAACCTAACACACTTGACAGGCATGGCTTTTGAGTTAATTTGGAATTTGAAGACCAAAAATTGGTTTATTTAAGAAAAATAAAATAGTTTCCTCAGTAATTTTGAAATGAAAATTTTTAACCCAAATAACGTGAATTTACAAAGAAAATAAGCCAAATTAAAGCAAATTACTAATGAACAACGTCGTGGTATCTTGCATCAGCTATTAAAGTATATGAAGAACAAAGAAAAAATAGAATACGATACTATTAATAAAGTTGTATTCTAGGTCTGACTGTAAGTAGAATATGGGATACAGTACAAACTCAATACAGAGAAGGTAAAATTTGTGCCGATCTTTCTTCAAAAAAAAGGAAAAATGCAATTTGGCAAAAATAAAGAATACATGTTTTCGGACAGAAAACATTAGTGTGATTACTTTTATTTTATATAGAAGTTAGTTTATTTTTCTAATCTAATTCATTAATTCATTCATAATCATTAATAATTTATTTTTAGAGATATGAAAATTGCATTATATTAAATGGAAAAGTGTAAGTTCAATTTTTCATGAGAATCAAGAAATTCTATTTTGTTATTATCATTATGATAATAATATTATTTCTTTTATATTTGAAGTAGGATTAACTTGAACTTTAGCAGACAAGTCTCAGTTTTGTGTCTAATATTATTTGTATCATTTATGATTGGTATATTCAGACGATTTGATCAAGTGAGTGAGTCACGATGAAGTGCGTAGGAGGAATACATTGTATAACCTTATCATGATTTATACTTATATTGTGTTATCTGTAACAAACCATATAAGAAGACGCATGAGATGGTCACGTAACAGCAATATACATGTGCAGAATATCAACTGAAAAAAGTCAGATTTTCAAATAAGAAAATGATAAATTATATCCAGCTTTGCATAAATTTAGTTTACAATCAAAAAGTTTCAAAACGCAGCGAATTGCACATAAAGACAAAAGCGCGTCTAATGTTCCTTCAACATTAATTAATCATCCTCTGGTATTTTCACTTTCCATCATCATCGTACAGATTTTTTTCAAATTTCCCACGCATTTCGTTCCGTGTCGTGAGAAGGACCTTTGGGACGACGTCTGACGCGAGTTCGTTATAATATATTCATCATATTTGCACAGATGCCCTTACGCGATAATCTCTGACGACGATAAACCTGAATTATATTTACTGCTCTTTCCTCAAATCATCTACCACAAGTTTTATTTTATTTATAATTATTTTGTTTGAAAAAGTAACGTGCATTTATTTTTTGCTTCTTCATTATATTCCTAAAGAATATGCTTTGTTTAAACTATTAATTAGTGTAAGTTTTGTAAAACTTCCTGTGCTTTGCGCCACTATTTTCGTAGTGCGAGAAGTAAAAGAACCCGACGCTGCCGGTGCGACCTTAACCTGGATGTTCGACTACCGAGCAGCTACTTATCGCCAACATCTTCATGTTTAGTAATCATCACTTTTATTCCATTGATACCAACATCGATTTAATATATACACATTTGGCGACTTTAATTATTACTGTCTTCTCTACCATTGAAATACCACAAAAAAAATATTGCTAACAATTTGTAAATATTTTTAGAAATTTC